TTTTCAAATGCCGCATATAGCAAATGTAGTTTTCACAGTAATAAAAAGTAAAACCCACGCGTTGTTAAATTAAATATGACGAGAAGAAAGGATATAAAAGCAATGAAATGTATGTATATTTTACATTTTATACAAAAAATGATAACATTAAATTTAAAAGCTTAAAAAATGGCAGTTTAACTGTAAAATAAATTTTTTATATAAATTAGTAAAAATATATATTCAATGAACGCAGTCACGTTTCTATAAAAAGAAGTGTCTGTACGTGTCGGAAGTAGAATTGTCAATCATAAAGAATAATAAAAAATACTAAAAAAAGCCGAGGGAAAAAGCTCATTTCCTAACAGACCTCGCGGAATGAATTTTCGAGAAGAACTGATGCAAAATCTCTGCTAAGAAACTCAAGTAAATCGTCCGGAGTCTAGTTTACAATAACCGACTTTTCTTCTTACCTTATTCTTATTCTTCTTCACTTAATTTTCTCATCGTCTTCATTCTTTGTACTTTCTGGTTTTCAACCAAGAGAAACTCACTCACTCAGAAGAACCGGAGATTGTAAAGAAAATGAATTTAAAGAATAGAATTTCAACACTTCCTCTTTAAAATTACTCTAAAGGTGCTTCTCAGCAGAAAAATATATTTGGACGTGAAGCATCTACATACTTAAAAAAAGAAAATTTTGGGTTATACAAAGATTGATTATTTTAATATGGTTCCCTTAACACATGGTTGCATTTTGTTCAAAAATCACTTTAAATATGCTAACATATCGCATTACAGATGCCATAAGGGCGTATAATAAAAATTCTATTATTTTTTCTAAGTCCAAAAAAATTTTTAGTTTAAAGATAAATTTTCTTTTTATTTCTACACGTTTCATACAAAAATGCCGACGTATTATTTTATGATACGTGCAGAAATGCACACGAAAAAAAGGAAACTGTAATAAATAGAAGTCGATTTATAATAAGTAATGATCAACTGCTAAAAATTACCATTTCAAACAGTAAAATCGTGATTTTAACAATCACTTTATAATATTTACCATTTAAATGTTACAATTTACTCTTTACATGGAAGAAAATACTATTTCAAACAGTAATATTCGCTATGTAAATGTCTAAAATGTTAAAGTATAATAATTAAGAATTCAGACTTTGATATTTATCATTTCGTATCTAAAAAATGATCTTATGATATGTAAAAAGTATAAAATAAAGTTAGTAAATTTCTAATACAAGCAACGTCAATATTTACAAAGTAAAATGGTAAATTTTAAAAACAACGCTAAAAATCAAACTGTAATTATTGACTTGCTTGGACTGGTAAAATGTATATTTTAAAAGTATAATTTTTACTGTTTCAAATGTTAAATTCTCCCAGAATGAGACCCCCTTCTTTTTCATCTGAGTTACCCTTCTCCTCATAATATGGACTATATATTGAAATGGCAATTTTTACTGTTTGAAACTGTAATTTTTCAAGATGAAAGAGTCGTTATTTACTATAGTGACAGCTACTAATCACTTATTTTGAATATTAAATTATAAATTGTGGCTTTTATACTTTCTACATTAAGTTCTGTAATATTTATATTTTTGCCACCCCGATGTCCGCTTTACTGTTTGAAACTATAAAAATTAACCGGAATCCGAGTGAATATTACAGTTTACTTTTTTCCGTGCAAGAAAAAATTTTTTTCCATATAAAAATTTTTTTTGGACTTGGAAAAAAAAACAGAATTTTTATTATACGCCCTTATGGCATCCAAAGAGGGTCCCGGATGCCATAAAGGCGTATAAATATACTATTTTTTGCATTTCTGCACGTTTCGGACGAAACTACGTTGATTCCCGAAAAAATAATTTTTATACGCCCTTATGGCTTTTCACCGGGACCTTTTGCCGGTATACGCCCTTATACATGGCATCTGGAACGCGATATAAAGTTATTCTCCACAAAAAAAAAAAGATTGTTTAGTTCCACGGTCACTTAGTTTTTATAAGATTGTCATAAATGGATTTTTTAACTTGTTTTAAAGCTTTAATGATAACAAAAATTTTACGTTGACCGAAAATCATTAATGAAACGTACTCGCACGAGTTTGATAATTTTTTTCGTATATTTCACATAAAAAAGGTAACAATCTAAAAATAAAAATGATAAAAAATGTCAATTTTGTATCATCTCTTCAAAATAAAAATTTTTGTTGAAAAATTGAAATTTTTTTTGAAGTTAATTATTTTATTGTTTATAAACTTTAAAGAAATGAATATGTAATTGTTAAAAAAAAATTCCAAATTTCGTTTTTATATGTGTTTGAAGTATTGTAGAACGCGAAACTATAAATAATTATCAAGAAAAAAAAAAGAATTGTGTCGACTTTAATTAGCCAAAACCTCATTTTTCATAGTTACATTCGTCGTATTTCGTTTTTCTTTTCATTTCTAAACTCTACATTTTTTCACTTTCGAGTCATGTTACAACGAAAAATGAAAATTATAATGTAAGCCTCTACTTACACTCATGTGAAATATAAAAGATCAAGTTTTTAGCCGTAAAATTTCATAGCATGGCATCGTAAATCGTAATGAAAATGAATTACCGACAAAACCCCGCGAAATAATCCCCGTGGTGAAATAAAATGGCTCTCGCGTATTTACACTCTGGCAAAATTAAAATTCCTCAAGTGTAGCAAAGCAACGAACAACGAGCCGAAGCTGCCCAGAGGAGAGAGACTATTTAATTAATGACCGGACTAATTAAAACGCCTAAAGAAAAATATTCGCCCGGCCGTGTCAACTGTAGTAGCACTGCAGTTACTGACGAATACACGCTTAAAAGGAGACCACTAGTGCAACTTATTCACCTTTTCATCTCTTGACTACCGTTAATTTACTATATAGATTCTATCATTTGTATAACCAAGATATAACATATTTTTTAAAGCTAAATTTTTATTATTAATTGTTAAAAAAGCATCACTGAGTACTTCATTTATTATTCCACCACTACTAGCCATTCAAGATGTATATATCGAACAATTCAGTCAATTTACAAGGAAAAAAATTTCAAGAAAGAATTCCTATCCTATCCCTTATAATATAAAATTTATGATTGAATTAAGATTATTTCGAAATTTTATTGAATTATAAAAAAAAATGGTCCCTGATTATCCAAGTGTCACAAAAAAAATGTCGACTTTTTGGTAGATTTTACTGAACAAGAAGCCAAAAATTAATAATCATCAGCTTAAATTTAACAAAACATTAACAAAAAATAATTTGTGCCGCTTGCGTAATTATTAGTTGATATTGAAGCGCACGTCGAGTGCGCCATTCAAATTTCTAGTGTGATCTGAAAAGTATACGACTGGTCCATTTCAAAGGATAGTAATTGACATTTTTCTAATTTATTTAAAATTTTCTAATAAGAAAAAAGTTTGCACTCTAAATTGCTAAAAAATTAGATCCTTATAGAGAAGATATATGAATAAAAAAATTAATTGATATCTGACAAATTTTCTCATTTTTACAACAAAAAGTATTTTGAAAAAAATTCTTGATGTAGAAGTTGAAAATAAATTAACTATGCAAATTTTTAAAAATGTTATTTTTTATTGTAAAAACTGATTTATCTTAAAAATCTCAAGTATTGTCAAATATCTAATGATTTCAAAATCATGAAATTATTTTTGATTAGAATAATGAACATTTATTTCAATTCTAAACTTTTCTGTAACCCTGTAAAGAAAAAAAAGTTTATTTGAATCAAGAAAATTGTAAACAAGGCCTAAGTTATTTATTTTGTGGTAAGAAAAAATTTTCTTGTCTTGAGAAACATTTATTTTATACTATATTTTTATTTATTTTATTTATTTATTTATTTATTTCTCGTTACAAATTTCTTGTTCGCAAATTTCTTGTTCGCATATTAATTTCTTGTTCGCAAATATTTTTTTGAGTATAGAAAATTTATTGTAGGACAAAGAATATTTTCTTTCTTTATAATCGTAAATATTTGATTTTAATATCGCCATTTAAATTGTAAAAAGGGATTTCAAGTACTCGAAACTAACCAATAATAATTTTGATTGTATTGTAATCAATTTACAATAAACTTCATAATAAATCATCTTTTAACTTTGATTTTATTTATGAAATATTGGGCGAATATATAATCCTCCAAAAAAAGTATGCTCATAGCTGGGAAAAAAATATGGGAAACAAAAAGACCAACATGATGTAGATTGATGTAAATTGGGCAATAGAATCGATATTTATGATTTTTTTTTGAGCGATTCCCGTCATTTTGGAGATAATCTCGAAAATGAAATAAAAGAATAAAAAATAAATAAAAAAATTTTGTCTGTAACTGTAGTGCAACGTGGATTTGACAAGCTGCCTGCGTGTGATGAACGATCGATGTCCTGGTAGTAAAACCAATTTATTATGCAATTTACCGTAGAGACAATGTAAGCTCGTAAAACAAAGCCCCTGCTGCCAGCGTTCGTCCACCGATAGTACCGAAGATAATCCCACAGGCGAGCCACAGGAATTGCATCCGTTTGTTTCGATTCGATTTATTTCATAGGTATAACAAAATAACAAAAAATAATAATAACGTTAATAGCAATAATAAAAGTGAAAGCATTTACGCACAGTGGAAATATTACGGGATATAAATAACAGAGACAGCTCCAAATATTCATTTTATTTTACTCATTTAGACAATGTAATTTCGATAAATTTTACCTTTCAATTGACTAAATTTGTCGTTCATTTAAATAAGTATACACTATCATTTGCTCTAATTTATTTTAATTAATTATTTATTTGTACACTCATATACCTCAAATCAATCAACTAATTATATAGCAAAAGTAAACATTCAAATATTTATTATTGAGCTTTCCGATTTTCAGTATAGAATGTGTGTTTGATATTGATTTTTTTCTTTATTTTTTACCTTTAGTGAGAAACAATACTTGTAAAACACATTTACGACTGGAGAAAAGCCGCACGAATCCAATCGTTAAAGTGACTCAATGATGTAAAACCTGTGTAGGAATTGTAATCGCAAGAGTAATCCCTGACAGGACTGACACTCACGATTCCCCGTAGATACCAAAGTCCATCACTTTCAAAACATAAACCTCCACCGCTATCACCTTCACAAAGACTGGATCCTGCAAACAATATTATTAAAATAATATCAAGGTATCATTTTTTATATAGAACAACCGAAGGAAAATAGGTCACCATTTTTTTTAGACTAAACAATTTTTTTAATAGCACCGAAAAAAATTGATAAAAATTACAGAAATAACTAATTTTTTCAACATAATGTTTTTTTTTTAAACATATAAAAGTAATACTTGAATTTTATAATATCCGAAAACGTTACTTTTTCATAAAAATAAATACGATAAAAATTTGACTTATTAATTTATTCGTCTATTTATAAACCCTTCTATTTTTTTATTATTACTGACATATAATTTTTCATGTTTAGAAAATAAATTTTCTCTCAGAAAAAAAAAAAATTTTATTTTCCAATACTTTTTAATGTGTTCAAATTGAATTTATAAAAAGAATTTTGTACGTTGAATTTCTTTAATATTTCTACGCTTTTAAATACTAAGTCAATATAACATTAGTAAATTAAAAATATTTTATTATATTAATAATTAATTGAAAAACTGGGCTTAAGTTGAAAATTCAGATATCTGTAAAGTTACACGGAAAAAAGTAAACTGTAATATTCACTCGGATTCCGGTTAATTTTTATAGTTTCAAACAGTAAAGCTGACATCGGGGTAGCAAAAATATAAATATTACAGAACTTAATGAAGAAAGTATAAAAGTCACAATTTATAATTTAATATCCAAAATAAATGATTAGTAGCTGTCACTATAGTAAATAACGACTCTTTCATCTTAAAAAATTACAGTTTCAAACAGTAAAAATTGCCATTGCAATATATAGTCCATATTATGAGGAGAAGGGGAACTCAGATGAAAGAGAAGGGGGTCTCACTCTGGGAGAATTTAACATTTAAAACAGTAAAAATTATACTTTTAAAATATACATTTTACTAGTCCAAGCAAGTCAATAATTACAGTTTGATTTTTAGCATTGCGTTTAAAATTTACCATTTTACCTTGTAAATATTGACGTTGCTTGTATTAGAAATTTACTAACTTTATTTTATACTTTTTACATATCATAAGATCATTTTTTAGGTACCAAATGATAAATATCAAAGTCTGAATTCCGAATTATTATACTTTAATATTTTAGACATTTACATAGCGAATATTACTGTTTGAAATAGTATTTTCTTCCATGTAAAGAGTAAATTGTAACGTTTAAATTGTAAATATTATAAAGTGAATAGTAAAATCACGATTTTACTGTTTGAAGTCGTAATTTTAAGCAGTTGATCATTACTTATTATAAATCGACTGTTATTTATTACAGTTTGCTTTTTTCCGAGCATTGACACAATCCAGCAATGACCGACATTATTCATTATTGCCCGGAACCTAATCAAGTAACAAAATTCTATTTAGGGCAACTAATTAGAAACAAAATTGACATCATAAATAAATTTTGTATAAAAAATTGTAATCTAGAATAACCAAAAATTATATTTCAAATTAAAAAAAAGAATCCGATATTGGTACAATCAATAAAAATTAACTTAATTCAAAAGAAAAAAATTTTTAACTAAGAAATTTTTCTTGGAAATTTTCCATACAGACAAAAATTAAATGATCGAGCATTTTTATACTGGTAAAAAAATAAAAGGAAGTCTTTTTTATCAATGTGAGAAACGTTTTTATAAAATTATGACAACGTTCCCATAACTTTTTCCGGTGACGTAATATTTGTACATATAAAAATAAACTAACCGTTCATATAACCAGCGCAAAATTTATCTGGTGTAATATATCCTTGAAAGTCGGTTGGAACTTCCGACAAACATTGATCGAATGATATAAAAGGTATATTTATTTCTTGAAGCTCTTCACTTGGCGCACCATTTGCCGTTTTTCCCCATCCAACAGCCTGTGTGTATATAAGTCACAAAATATTTACGTTCAACATTTCAGGCTACATATATTTAAGAGTAATTCAAACTGAAATAACATAAATCATTATTTACTTTTCCATATTTTCCAGGCTGTAAATGTTCTTTTTCTTTAACGTTATCCCAGTCAATACAAACCGGACGTACAAGACTAGTCAATTCGAGTGGACTTAGTAGCTTGAGTAGAGCAATATCATGAGCAAAATTACCTCTTGCTCCCATGTACCGACTCCCGAGACGGATCCACTCAACCTTGGACGTTTGAGCGTAGTCCTCCTGAACATTCCAATTTCTGTAGTGCTTCCCTGCAGCTACAGAGAATCTTGAGAAATTTTTCACTTCATTTAAGCTTTCGTCATAGAAACAATGCGCCGCTGCATAATACAAAGTTTTGAATTAATTCAAAATATAAAATATTAATCAATTTTAAATTAATAGATAGTATAAAAAAGAAAAAAACACCCTCATACATCAATATTTACCGGAAACGATGAGACTGCTGCTTATAAGTGTGCCCGCGCAAATTTGTTCATAAGTTTTCGTCGACTTTTTTTCATAAATTCCAGTATGCCAAGGAAATACTCCCAATTTAGCTGTAAATCCACTTACGATGAGTGTACTACCATGAGAAATAGTCGTCCCACATTCTGATACAAAAAATATACAATTTCATGATAAAAATATCAAATTTCAATCATTATTCATCATCACAAGATTGTAATTAATAATTTTACTTCTGGTAATTTATAATTATTTTGTTAATAATTAATCATTATCACAAATTTATTGAATCATTATGTTATTAATTGATACTTTACGAGTCAAAATAATGAAGTTACATTAACTTGATAATCTTATTTTGAATTTACAATGATTTGGAAAAATGTTTTTACTTTTGAAAATTAACTAAAAATGTAGGAAAAAGATTTTATATAATAAAATGACGGTGTTCAATTGTTTCATTATTGAAAAAAATATTTGTATCTAATTATAAAACATAGATCTACATGATAAAAAAAAAAGTTATGAGTGCTGGAGGTAAGAATGTACATGGTTCTTGTATGTTTTTTCCCGCTGAACACGAATCCAAAGTCAAAATCGGAGGTCGATGGGCAAATTCTCAAGAAAACCGATTAAAACTGTTCAAAATCGTGATCTAGTCATTTTTTCTATTTGATGGTAATATCCGTCGAATGGTTGCTGTTTTCAGACACATTTACATCTAGATGATCGGCACTGGAGAAAAAAATAGTTTGTTTTAAAAAAAAATTTTTTTAAGCCGCACGGACCATTCTGAAAAATTTGATTGATTAAAAAAAAGCAATAAGTTTTTAAACCAAATGAAATGGACTGTTTTTTCTTCTTTGTTGACATTCAACAGTAATCTATGTCAAGCATACCAATGCTCTATTGTTTTCGAAATTCTCGTTCAGATTGCTTTAAGTTCAAATGCAATATTAAATCTCAATATTATCATGAAAAAGCAATTGTCAATTCATCAGACAGCTAAAACCCAGTAAAAACAATAAGACGTCTTATGACGTCTTTAAAAGCGGTTTAATATAGTCACCAAGAAATGTCTTTGTCATAAATCATAAGCATCTCCGATACTACCTAGCACACATAATTATTTTTTATTTTGTGATAATCTGAGTTATAATAATTCATATCTTTTGATATTATCCAAAATGTCATTATTCCAATATTCAGCATACATACAATGATAAACAAATTAAGTTGATTCATCAGAAAAAAAAATCTTGAACTAAGATCATTCTAAAAAATTGTATTACTGTGAATTTTTCTTAGTTTAAGTTAATTTTATTTAATTCAAGAAAGTTTATTCTAGAATCAAAGTAATTAAAGTCTTCAAAATGATTTTTTTGATGCCAATTTTTTACTCTTGAATTAAGTTGACATTTCTATCAATGTACACTAATCATAGTAAAAAGGTAGAAAAAATTTTTTAATTTAAGAAGCTGTCAAAAGGCCTTAACATAAAAGAAAAAAGTCAAAACACAATTTAGAAAAATATTTTATATCTATTACAAATCGAAATTTTTAATAAACTAGAAAATCTAACGCACTTTGCGCGCTTCTGTCAAAATGTTTATTATCGATAATTTAATTAATCAATTGTTTTTACAAATTTTACTCATTAATATTTAACCGTTGCCATGGTCACCGTTGTCATAGTAACCGTTGCTATAGTAACCGTTGCCAAAGTGATCACCATAGCAACGAAAAGCGCCAACAATGAAAACGTCACATCAACTTTTTAATAAAGGATTTTAAAACAAAAAATTCTTTATAAATTCTATCATTTAATACTATTTTACGTATTGGATATATTTACTTTTTTTTTTACTTTTAACTTATTTTTTCCAGAAATTAATTAAAGTAATAAAGTTATAAATTGACTAAAAAAAGTTATATTAGATTAAAATAAAAATCACTAATTTTGAAGACAAAATAAGACATCAAAAATTAGGTTCCACGATGAAATCTCCCCGGACATAATCTCCCGCGATGTTGTATCAGCGTCAAGTGTCCGTGACAAATTTGGGAATTGGGTGAATAAAGGATAAAGGGGGAGAGGGGGGACCTATTTTTACTTAGTAGGAATCTTTTTTTAGTGACTGAAAAAATATAATTCGGACAGCCCGGACCGGGAATCGAACCCGGATCATTCGGTTACGCGCCAAAGGCTCTACCAGTTAAGCTATCCGAGACATTGTCCGTAACTACTATTCAGTCACCTATTAAGGGGGTATTCTGGTCTAGAAATTTGAAAAATTCGAATTTTTTTTTTTGCATATTTCCAAAGTTTAGACCCTTAAAAATATGTCCTTAAGTGGATTTTTCAAAATCCGAATTATTTTCAGAGATACAGTGGATTTTGTGACGCAGCTGCTTCTGCTTCTGCTTCTTCAATAGAAGGCAGAACAGCTCGATTAGCAGAAAGAACTTCGCAAAACATCGAGTAGGAAGTAGAAGAAGGCCCAATTTATAGATCTGGGATTCGCGATTAATCCAAAGTGAATATTAAATATTATTATGAGTTATTTTACTGAAATTGTTTCTGAAAATTTAAACGCGATTTTCTCGAAACTACTTTTTTTAAAGTGGTTGACATGATATCTTAAGTTCTACCCCACCGATTCCTTTGAAATTAAGTGGGAATTTGCTTTATATATCTCTCTATCGCGTCTGCTATGGATTTCAAAAAATTTCAATTTGGAGTATTTTTAAAAAATTCGAAAAGGTCAAAAAAAAGGGGTAAAAAAAAATTGATATTTTATGTCGACGCCATTTTTTTTTTTTTTTTGGCTATAGTCAACGCGATAGCGACATCTTTACAGATTGAGAATTTCTCAATTTTTTTGTTTCATATCACTTACAAGGGCTGGAATCTCTATTGCGTCTGCTATGGATTTCAAAAAATTTCAATTTGGAGTATTTTTAAAAAATTCGAAAAGGTCAAAAAAAAGGGGTAAAAAAAAATTGATATTTTATGTCGACGCCATTTTTTTTTTTTTTGGCTATAGTCAACGCGATAGCGACATCTTTACAGATTGAGAATTTCTCAATTTTTTTTGTTTCATATCACTACAAGGGCTGGAATCATGTCAACCAAAGTGCACTGTTTTTTTTGTAGCCCCCACTTCACCGGCCTGTAATTTGTCAAATTTATCATTTTTTTTTTTAATTTTTTTTTATATTCTTGAAATGTCAATAAACATCATATAAAAAAACGGATAGTTAAAATGTTTTTCATTTTTTTTTATGTTAGTTTGAAAAATGCCTAAAATTTAGGCTTCTAGACCAGAATACCCCCTTAAGACCTGACTTGAGTAAACACCACCGTCCATCTTACGGTAAATAACAAATATTAATTTGTAGTATAGACAAGTCAGCGACACAATCGGGGGTACAATGTCGCGGGGAGATTTTGTCGTGTAACCAAAAATTATATGTTGACATGTCAGAACATATCAGAAGATTTTTTTACTTATACGTTTACTAGTTCATGCAACCATATGAATAATAAGTAAAATAATAAAGAAAAAAAAACAAACAAACTTGGTAAGCATCTAAATACAGAGCGATCCCAGCTGCCATTTTCAAGACAAGTAATCTCCCTATATACAGGATCATCGGTCAATGGAATCTTATAAGATGGTTTGCACTTGAGCATCGCTGTAGTACCAGGCTCGGCTGGCTGATCGCAAGACACTGTAATACCCCGAATTTTACACGTTATATCTACACTCGAACTCTTGAGAGCAGGGCAGGATTCTGTAACACAAAGCAACATACAATATAGCAGTAAAATGACCCGTATATCTGATCCATTCGGTCAAATTACCAGTACAGAGCTTAGCTAGGGGGAAGATATTTCAATGACATCTTCGTTTGCCAAGTACATACTTACTCAAGCACGAGAGGGGCATGTACCATGAGTCGTTGAGGCAAACGGACACTGCACTACCATTTCTGACGTAGCCCTCTTCGCATGTGTACGTGAGAATACTGTTTCTGGGTACCCAGTCACCTCGAACTTTGTCGCAGGAGGACTCGCAACCTCCAAGTTCATAATTACCACCTTGTGGCTGTTTGGGTAGTCTACAACCACTTCGAGATGGATTAACAGCTGTTCTGTTTAAGAGTAAACAACCATTTTAATGGATATAACATTTATTTTATATTTACTATTGACTATAATCTTAATTGATTAATTTCAGAGAAGCTTTACACTGAAAATAATTATTCGATTCAAGGAAAATATTTTCTTCATAATTTTACATTTCTTCCAAAAGATTTATTTAGCCTTCTTGGTCAAAAAAATAATAATTCTTTGATAAAACACAGAAAATTATTCATTTGAAAAATGATACTCTCCAACGAAGCCCTTATTTTTTCAAAAAAAAAATAAAGTTTTTAATTAAGAAAACCTGTTTTCTTCAAAATAATTTTTTTTGTTGTATAATAATTTGTATTCAATCAAGTTAGTAAATTTATCAGTATGAATAATTTTCATTAAGCTATGATATAAAGATAACCATTTCCTTAAATATTATTCATTCATACCGATTGTTTTTAGTTGAAAACTTTAGTTCCTCTTCTTCTTCTTCTTCTTCTTCTTCTTCGCCTTCTCTTTCATACATCCGGGTAGTGGATAATATATTTACATCAGGATATTCCACATTTGGCATTGCATTGTTCCGATCATTTTGAGGTCTTCCACTTCCGCTGTTATGAAAATTACTTGAACTAATACTTGATTGTTTTTCATTATTTTTATTCGATTGTGAAGGTTTACTACCACTACTTTGAAAATTTCCATAACCATTTGTATTTTCTTGGGGTTTTTTATTCCCCGAATTATTATTACTGTTATTACTTTGACTTGATAATGGTGGTTTATAGTTACCATTACCGCTACTTCCTTGACTATAATTTTTATTTGGAATCTTGTTATTATTATTATTATTGTTACTAGGACGATTATTTTGATTATTCAAATTTGTGTTAGGATGTTGGTTGTTTTCATGATCGGTATTTCTATTAGTCAAAGAAAATGTTGGCAAAATTATGTTAATATTTGAGTGAAATTCAATTGTACTAGGCGTTGATGTTTCGAACTTCTGCCCACTGTCACTATTACCATTTTCATTAAAATTATTTTGCGACTGGGGTCGATTTGATGCCCAGTTTCCCACTTCGCCGTTATTCCCTGACGGCTGCGATGGTGTTTCTTTTCGATTCTGCTCCTGGAAGGCGGGTTGATAGGACACCGGTCGTTGTACAAATTGGTCATTCTTATTTTTATTGTATGAATTCGATAATGATGAAGATGATGATGATGATGATGATGAAGATAATTGCAGTTGAGAATTTTCATTTTTATTTTGACTATAAGTTAAATTCATTTTATTACGGTTGTTAAATATTTCTTGAGATGAAGATTGTTCAACGTTTCCTACAGAGCTATATTGATTATCCGGTGGTTTCTGGTTTACTGGCCTTTGGTTGAAGTTATTATTGTTGAAGTCAATATGTGAAACTTCTTCGCGTTCGAAAGGTATTTGTTGTGCCGCAGGATTTTTATTGTTATTATTTGCTGTCAAGTCACTGTACACAGGAGGTCTTTTATTGATCGGCTGTTGATTAAATGCTCCAAATTGAAGTGAAGCTGTTTGAGAGCCTCCTAATTGACTTAAGGTGTTTCCAAATGATAAACTAACTTGACGTTTTTTCTTTCCGTTTTCATTGCATTCTGTAAAAAATTGATTAAGTTAAATCAGTGATTAATAAAATAAGTGTTATTCGTAAAATAAGAAAAAAAGATAATTAAATATCAACAAGCGACCTTTCAATACTATAAAGCTGTAGTTATAATCATTTGAAATCATACCCAGTTAATTAAATAATTTTGTTTATAGTCAATTTACAATTACTTGATGTTGATTTTAATTATACAAAATTTTGACTCATAATTAGAAATGTAAAAAATGCATTATTCTGATAATTAGTTTTTTATTTAATTATTGATATTGTAAAAATACAATTTATAATTTTTAATTAATTTTTTTCTATTAATTATATGATTGATGCATTTACCAAAAAACTAATAATTTAAAATATTCTACAGATGCATTTATTTTTATTAATATTTAAAAAATTTAATCAATTCATCATTCAAAAAATTAATTATTTAAAATGGATTTTTTATTAGAATTAATAATTGAAATAAAATAAATTATAGATTTTAAGAGGTAGGAAACTTGAATAATTAATTTAATAACTTTAAATTCAGTTCAGTAAAAATTGAATTAACCCATTCTTGATTTAACTTAAGTAAATGAATTTTTTACTCTTATTATTAATTACGATAGATAGAAACTTAAAAGAAAATTTATAAGGTACAAAATTCAAAATCATAAAAGAGTTAAAATTAAAAGAGAAAAAGAAAATTTCACGTTGGAAAAATTATTTTAAATTTAGTTTGAGCGAATTTGAGATCTGTTGAGTGATTCAAATCAATCGTAGGTCAGAATATTGACTTAAAAGTTTTACGTTAAAATTATCGTATTTTTCATAACTGATACATATACTCTAACGAAAACTTAAAAAATTTATGATACTAATTTAATATATATTTGACAATTTTAATAAAAAAATATAGTACTTTGTATCATATATGCTCGAATTATATCTACTGAATTTTGGTCACTAGTGATAGTTCAGATGACAATTGTGATAAAGATGATTACATTTTTATTGTTTTAGTCTAATATCTGTATTTTGTGTCTTTGTTAAATTAAATTAAGCTTTTGTTAACAAAAATAATAAACTTGCAAGGAGCTTAAATGAATAATTATTAAAGGAAAATAAAAAATTGGTAAGTTTTATGACACATTTAATGACAACAATCTACTTAATAATTATCCCGATCTACAGTTATCAAATAAATAAATTGTAATCGGTGCAAAGAAAATTCATCAAACATATTAGACTTCAGATCAGCAGGAGAAACATCAATATGGTTGACGTCAACACAATATTACGGTTATGTGGTTCCGCTTTTTTTGAACTAACTACCTAAAGTTTACGTTCAGGGTGGCGGGAACCGCGCCAGACCGGTATTCGATTAAGTAGTCGGATTAGGATCGCACCGAAATGGATGGCTTACGATTTGTCACACATTAATACAGTAGCTAAATCTATTTAGGATAAAATAAACAAGACTATGAAGTTATACCTGCTCTGAAGTTGAAAAGGTGCGAGGTAGTTCTGGAAGTTGTTGGCTCGTGCTGAAGTGGTACTTAATACGGACAGGTTTAGGGGAGGGGGGGGGGCAAAATGGGGTACTTAAGCAATCGTTATGATTTTAAGGACTTAAATACGCTGATTTTTCTCGTTTTCAGTCGTAATTAAAGGAAAATAATCAAATTTCAAGTTGCCGTAGAAAAAAAAATTTTTTTCTTTTTGCGGGCAAAATGGGGTACTCCCTGAAAGAGTGAAAAAAAAATTTCTTCATCCGAAAATGAAATATCGTTAAAAAAATAACATTTTAGTATTGTACTCACATCGATATCCTAATGCCGAAATTGTTTGCAAGAAGGACAAAGAGACTGGGGGGGGGGGGGGCTTTGACAAAGAAGCGGCTCTACCCGTGGTTTTATCGTTTTTAATGGTAATTTCGTTACCTGTGAAATGTCAAATATTGTGGCTTATTAAAGCAAGCTATAAAACTGTCATACCCTTGTAAGAATAATTTTTAGATGGTTTCGAATATGTTTAGTAAAGCCGTCAGTGTATCGCGTAATCTCCCGGAGATTATAGGTTGCTGATGGTTTCGAAATAACCGCCTGACTGGAGTAATCAAAGGGCGAGACGGGAGGTATATTCTTCTTGATTGCCAGTGACAATCACTCTGAATAATTATTCGATGATATTCTTAACCGAGATCCCGCACTTGGTGGTAAGATTTATATAAAATGGATATATTTATGTCGCCGGGTTTTATCAGGATAACACGATACTCTCGCGAACGAAATTGATGTAGTACCCTCCTTGGTAGCGCAATTTTGAGGCCTTATATACCAGGCAATTCTCATTGTTCTGCCGACCTCTTAGGATTTTTGAGGGGGAGGAAGGTATACATGGGTAAGCAGAGTCAAGACGATGGCAGGAGTTTGTTGCTAACCAGGTGTGGTCATGAGTTAGGAATTACACATAGGTTAGGAAGGAAGGTTCGTGGGGGGTCTGGTGAGGGATTGGGAACAAAGACTGGAATGTGCTGGTCTAGGTGTAAGTTGGGGCAAGTTGGTCCTAGGCGATGGAGAAGAATTTGCCTTTGTCCACACGTGGCATCTTTCCTACATGCAGTTTCATGCGAGGCGAAGATTGATATCAGGAACTGGAGGAATTTCAGCTGCCCGTAGTGAGTCAGGGCCTGACTCAGGTCGGATTTTTAGAAAACCGGTGTAGTTTCGAATGCAAGTAAGAAGGTTTAAGATCTTAGTGTAGAACATGCAACGGGGGTTCTCAAATATTATTTAGAATAAATAGAGATGTTTGTAAATGATATTGCAGGATTGAAGTAACTAAAAGCAATACAAGAGTTCAGTTATTGGGAAATATCATTATAGTATGCTTTGTGAGTCAATAATTAATATGATTATGGTATTAACACGCTGCTAGAGGAAATGGCTTTTCTAGTGTCAGCGGGGAGTAGTTTTATAGCCGTTTTGGTTAGGGTTTAGACCGGCCGAGGCAACATCTTATTGCGTAAGATAATATTTCCCATGGTGGACTAACAGTTGCATATCTCCTGGTTTTGAAGAAATATTAATTTGCATTTTAGGTAAGCCGATCTTTAGAAGTCGTAAAAGTCGCAGTGGTTCTTTGATTAGATAGATAAAAGACAGTTTCGTTGGCTAGCAATCTGGAGAAAATTGAAATTTGTTATGCAGGGAATTAGGTGTGGTCCATAAATATTAGAATAAAATATGTTTTTAATAAAATTTAACTGCGCCCCAAAATGAATTTATACGTTTAACAATTCTCATCGAAGGTAATACCAGCGGAACAAAATGGCGACCCGTATTTCATAGAATTGTATAAAAGGAAGATGGGTAACCGGGGGAAGGGTGAAGGGATTACAATGATGATTATACCATGGGATTGGGTTTCCGTGGTCACTAGGTTTAGAACCAACCTATGCTAGAGTTGGGTGATTCTTATCTTTCTCGGTGATCGTCAGCAGCGGAGGCTAATAAGTGGGGACTGACTGGGACAAGGGGAAGGCTGTAACCTTGGTTGCTTCATCTAGGATGATGCGATGGTATTTTAGTATAGGAATATTATTTAGCAAAAATATAATATTTTTGATTAATCCGCTAGGACCAATCTACTTCAAGTATAAGGAGGCTACGCTAGCCATAACAATGGATCGAGAACAGGCCTATGCATATACGGGCTGTGCACCTCTTGCAGTCAGGAGAGAATATCTAACGTTCTGTTGCGGTGCTGATATTGTAAGTGGAAATATATATGTACCAGAACTAGTTGAACGTCTCAACTTTATTGTACCAGGCACTCGTCTACGTGAACCAAGACTGTTGAAATTACCATTAATAAAGTCGCGACTCTCTACGCGTGCACCGATATACAGAATAAGCCATAAACAAATATGCCACAGATATTGACATTTTTGGAGGACCAGCAGATAAAATAAAAAATAAAGCAAAAAGGGTGATCTTGAAATAATAACATTTCTGGTGTATAAATAGTGATTATAAATTAGATGCTATTTATTGTATACATATATTACTAAGCATTCTACACATGAAAATGTAAATATTCTTGTAAATTGCCGAGGGCGTTTCTTTAAAAATAAATAAATTATTAACTTTTACATACTCTGTGAAATCCTGTTTAATTAAATTTGCTTATGTATTGAAAATAATTAATGATTTTCTATATTTTAGACACTCTACTCTAAAGGATTAAAAGTTTGTCATGTTTCATATTCAAACTATTTAAACACTACTGTTAAAATGGTCTTAGCTGCTTGAATTAATCAACGCTAGTGGGGAATTAATTAATAAACTTTCAGTGACAATTATTATTCCACGGTTAAGTCAAAATTTATGATACATCAAGTAAATTGTTTTTTACAGGATAAGTTTTTTCCAGCAGTGCGTCAAAACTTTTTTATTAAATTTTTAGTTTATAAATTTTATACAAAAACTTTTTTTAACACAATGAGGGGAAATTTGTTAATAATGATGTATATGTATGGACTTTCGTTTAGAATTTATCAATATTAGAGAGAATAATGTCAAATTGTATGGTGTAGAATTTTTGAATATATTTTTGACACTGTTTTATTAAATTCTTATTATTCAATATAAAAAGAGTCTAAAAATATTTGAAAAGTTTCTGCCTTGATATGAAGATCATAAAGTTCAAGGATAATTGAATATAATTAACAATGTCACGAACTCTTTACATGTAGATTGTGTCAAAAAAATTTTAACAATCTATTTTATGAATCTAAAAATAAATTCTTCTACAATACTTAAACATTTACAATACATTTTGTTAGTATTTTATACAAAAATCCTTCGACTATAAAAAAACAAACTCATTAAGTAATACTCGAAAGATAACAACGTAACAGGACGAAAATGAAATAAAAAGAAAAACAAACTTTACACAGTATTGGTAACTTACGAGTGAAAGAATATAATGAAAAAGTCACGAAAATCCACAGTGACAACGATTTAACATCAGCAATTGACATATTTATTTCTTACATGCACTATATATAATACTCGTACTCACAAGAGGAATAATCTTTACCCAAGTGATGCACCACAATTAGTGAACGACCTTGCGAAGCATAGTATAGAAAGGACGACAAAGAGAGTGAGTTAAATTCGATTGGGAAGACAAGGTATCCTGAAACTGGTACCCAACTCGTTTCTCGAGCATCTAGCCTCCAGCTAGACAAACATTTTACCGAAAAAAAGTAAAAAAAAACGCAATCCAGGATACAAGAGCTGACGTACCACTGATTAAAACTATGTCAATAAAATATTCCGTAGGAACCGGTAAATACATTTAAGAGTCTGTTTGTTTATGCAGTGATTAATTTAGTGATGAAAGATATAATTGAAAGTTCTTCATTATTTTGATACTGTTAACCCAATTGATTATTTGAACACCTTGTAAATTAAAAGAATAGTTGATCAATTAATTCAAAATTTACATGCTCCATTATCGATGAAAGAAGAAATTTTTATCAACTAAAAATCATTTAAAAAAAGAAATTGGATTTTGAAATTTTTAAGAAAAATAATTTTCAGACAAATCTATAGAATTTTAAAGCTCTTTTTTTATAATTTATAATCGAAAAAGTTATCGGTATTTTTTAGTAACAGAGATTGAAATTCAATCACATTTTTGTCAATCAAAGATTTAATACACACTGTATACAAGAATACACGCACGTGCAATGGTCATTTTGTTAATAATTTAGAGATCAAAATGACTTGCGAAAACAATAACTAAAATCTAAAAAAAATACAATTTTCATTGCGAGAAATTTCATTGGATAAAATTTTACACTACATATTACTATCAGTGAATGCAAAAACACTAAAATAAAAAGAAAAAAAAAATGAGCTTAAAAATCTTCATCAGTTTCTGAATTTCGGAAGAAAGCAGCCTTTTAGAGAAGCTACACGCCAAGTTTTCTCTGATGTACGATTTCAATTTATAGTAATTATAAAAAAAAAAATAATAATACTATGAGAAATTTAAATCACTATTCTATTTAACCAAAGATAATTATAAATCTGTAATCTCTCAAGTTTTATATAAAATTTAAAAAAAATAACTTTGAATATTCACTAAATTACTGAATAATAACATAGTTTTTAAATTACCAATCGGTCTTTGATTCATAAAAAAATTTGGTAATTATTTACAAGTCAGGTCAACCCATGCTAACCCATGTTAATTTTTTTTTTTTTATCAAATTGATCAATTTTTTTTTTTTTAGATATTCGTTTTTTATGTATTTTTCAAAAAAAAAATATATATCAAAAACATCAAAAAAAGATAAAATAAAAATTTTATCCAAAAACATGAGCCAAAATTTTTTCCAACTTTTAAAGGCAAAAAAGCTATCGAAATCTTTATTTTTTCTTTTCACGACATTTTTTATCATAAATACGCCGTAAAAACAAAACCCCAACTCAACGGACAACATCATCCAAGAATGCCAAACGTGCCTTCTAAACCTAAACAAACAAGAAAACATCAGAATAATCTGGATTCCATCACATCAGGGAATTGAAGGCAACGAAGCTGCTGATAGGGAAGCTAGAGAAGCTACATCCTCAGGTACTGACCTCACACTCAAGCTCCGAACTTCACCAAACGACTTCAAAAAACTAGTTAAAAATCACGTAACACAAAAGTGGAATGAAATTTGGCGAAATGAAGAAACGAAACTACATAAACATCGAGTAAATACTTGGGACGAAAGATCCCAATTCCAATCAAGAAAGGACCAATGCTCACTAACAAGACTAAGAATCGGACACACAACTTTTTCTCATGGTTACCTTCTCAGCAAAGAAGACCCAAAAAGTTATCCAGCATGCACTGAAAACTGAAAGAGCCTCAGTTCAACATATCTTGACCTGCCCTAACCTATCAGAACTAAGAAGAAGACTCAAGATCCCCAACAATACTCTCCTCTTACTTAACCAAGAAAATCACTTTGCAAAAATCAAAGAAATGTTATCTATATTGAATCTTAAATGTTAAATTTTTTGTAAATTGTAGTCGCTGAGGACCTGAGTTGTCAGGGCGACTTGAAATAAATTAATTAAAAAAAAAAAACAAGCAGAATAAAAAAAAAATTTTGAAAATGTCAATTTTTCACCTAGTTATGGAGTTATGGCCCAAAATGGGGTCGCGACCCCACTTGTGGATAATTACCAAAAATTTTGTTAAACCAATTCTGATCAATCTGCAATCGATGTTATCAATTATTAACTTATTTTTTGTTTTTCAATTTAATAATTTAATAGCAAAATATTCGCGATAATGATATTTTAAGGTTATTGGATAGATTTACAAAGTGAAAAGCTTCGTACTTATCTATCTTTATGCTGTAAAACAAATGCATTTATATTTTTGACAAGAACATTATCTAGTTTTTTATATGCTCTGCAATAGTATTTTTTGAATTATCAATCAACAACTAAAAGAAAAACTCAAATGGATAGCATATTACAAAATTACAATTCAAAATTTATGTACAGAGTGCCTGACGGATTACGAGAATTGTGCAAAGATATTTCTCACAAGGTATGTATAATGTATTGATTTTACAAGTATAATAATATTCAATTAATAATGTATAATCATTTTATTACCATACTCAGGTTTTGCGCAGTCAGCCAACAAATATTTATCATTTTATCGCTGATTATGTTGACGTACTTTTAATTACACGAGACAATACGAAAGGTATTTTTTGTTTATTAAAATTACTTTTTTAATTAATATTCTATGTTATTGCGTTATAATTTATAATATTTATGGGTTTTATAATTAGTGGCAATTAATGTTGTAAATAATATTGTGGAGAGCAGTGAATTTATTATTAATACTCTGGACTCTATGGGATTGGACTTGAAACAAATTGCTAGAGTAGCACCGAAATTACAACAAGCGTTTCGTGATTATTTGGACGCCAATCATAAATCATGTAAAATTAAAATACCTTTTAATTTTATTTGCTGTGTATTTCAATGTCTTCATATCTTATTAGATATGTTATTATCAGTATCAAGTAGTATTAATATTCATTGTATGTTAATCCAGATTATGAGAGCGGAATTACTATGAAAAAAATTATTGATAATGCTAGTATTGAATCGGATCAAGCTCAAAAAGCAGCTACCACTATTCAAGTAATGTTATATGTTTCATATTTATTTTATGAGATGTAATAATTATTATATAACAAGAGATAGAACCAATCATTTGATCAGTCAAGCCAAATTGATTAGATTTAATTATTTAAGAAAAAAAAAAAAAAAAAACCAAAGCAGTCATTACACAAAATATCAAATAATGTTTTATCTCTTGTATTACATTGCATTTTTTTTTATCAAAGCCTCGAGTTTTAATGTTTAATGCCAGTCGAAGCAAGAATTATCTATACCAAACGGTAAACTTTACACTACTAAATAGTGAATATTCACTATTTCATTTTTAAAGAGTACGTTGCTTGTATTTTTTTCGAGATTAATCGCAGTTAAGTTACAATTTAAGTACACAGTTACAAATAATAAACAAAATTAGTAGGATAGTAATAAAAAGAACATAAACGTTAATAGATTTAAGATAATTCTGTAAATGAGATTTACTTTTATCCTGGAAGTTTGTTCAAAACGTGACCTAAATTTTATAGGATTTTTCAATTTCTTTATACAAAAATCAAATAATTGAAAATAAGAAATCATAATCTATTATAGTGAATTTCAGAAGAAATCACCGGAGCTTGTGAGTCACGAAATACTAGTTTGTAACTTAACCAGGAGCAAAACTTGGACTTGTATATCACAGAGTCTTATGTGCTTCCGAAGAAATATGTTTGGAGCCAATGAGAGCGTACTGGTGACTTTCATGTATTACGAGAACAAGTTAATATATTAATTAAGTTTTTATAGACATCAATACCAAAAACACATCAAGATCTGAGTGATTAAGGGCCAATTTTTCAATTCAAAATAAAATTTTATCCATGTTTGTAAATATACTGGCAATAATAATTTTATTCTGAATAAAATTTTATCCCGGATTGAAAAACTGGCCCTAAGAATTAACAGAAGTCATTGAATTATGGGAAATTTGGGATAATCCACTTTGTACAAACTTCAAGGGTAATTAGTAAAATACAGAATAAAAGTAAAGAGTTATATAATCGGAAAAGAAAACTAAAAATTGTAAATTTTAGCAGACGCACATTATCAGTTCCTGGATTAAGATCTCTGTGCTTCCAGTCGATAGCAATTGTTATATTTTTCAAAAGTACACTCTGAAAATATAAACATAATTATAAAAATATATTAAATGCCGACAAAATATATAATATATAATTCATAATTATACCTTTTCAACACTTTTTTTTCTCGACTGTGTTTTAGTTTATCTTCTAAAATCTTTTTTTTTTTTATGAAGCTACTTAAAAAGAAAATGAGAACATTTCCGACATAAACCTTTTTTCATTCACCGATGATATTTATTCTTTTAGGTTATAAATGTAAGATAGATAAAATAATCTTGAGTGTCTTATCATTTTTGGTGGATTCTAATCTAATTCTTTCACCATATGTACAAATCATGTTGCCAATGATCAAAGAAAATCTGTTGTTATAAAATATTTTAATAAAAGAAATAATTAACAATGAAAAACAACTTGGCATGTTCAATTCATACGCTCCATAGTACCTAGGCAAAAAATGTCTTTAAAAAAAATCAAAAATTAAATTACAAATAAATACGGAAAAAAAAAATTAACACAATAATATTGAACTATTGCTGGAAGATTCATTTTGATAGTATTTCTTGAAACTTTTAATTAAATTTTAAAACCTCTAGATTGATTGATTAAAAAATAAGTAAATGAAACAATTTTAAATTATAATTAAAAAAAATTTAGAATTTTGCCAGAATTGTTACAATATAGACTCTCATTGTTATTAGAAATAAATAGTAATAAATTATATTATCAGATTGATACTTCATTAAAAAATAAATTAGACTCAAAAAATTTTATTTAATTATGAATTTATTTTTTATTTCAACACTTAAAACATAAAACTGTTTTTAAACATATACGTAAACATGTAATCTACACAATATTAAGATGACTCCACCAGTCTTTGTCGTAGCCCTCGCTAACATGATCCTCCAATGCCTTTCTACGTTGTTCGCAATAGGAAGTCTTATCTTGGACCTTTCGCTTGATCTCATTCAGCTCTTCATTTTCAATATCCTTCTCCAAATAATGCGACAAAGTTTCCGTAGCTTTTTCCAAGTCCTGTTGATTGTCTTCAAAAATGGTCGTTTGGTTGCTCTTCTCCAGGTAGTACGCGAATGCATACGTGTACATCAGTGTTTGTCTGCACTGACATAGCGCACTAACCGCGTTCCTTAGGAACTGGCACTCTGCCCAGGACATTCTCATTACCTGGTACTCCCGAGCCTTCTTCTCGACAGCTTCATACAAATTCTTCTCCAGTTTAAGGGAGTTCATATGATTCATGTACCTCTCAGAATGAAACAAGTACCTTTTTAACTGTAACTTGGTTGAGTCAATCCCCTGAGCTTCCTTTTCCTCCCGGTACCGATTGCATTTGTATAAGTCGTTGTGTTGCTTCCATTTCTCGTTGCAGATCCAACAGAATTCGTGTTTGCACTTCTTGCAGGTCATGTGGTTACACCCACCATTTTTTTCAATTATCGCAAAGCAGCTCGGACACTTCTTGGTGTTCAATTCTACCCAGGCCAAGCTCGCCGAGTCATTCTCTAATTTCTTCAGCCATTTTCTCAAATAATCACACAAAATAGGCGCATGCCACTTCTCGTTGCACTTGAAACAAAATGTCTGCCCGCAGTCACACGTCACGGGTTTACAATCAACATACTGGACTTTTATCGCCCGGTTGCAGTCTGGAGTTGGACACCATTTCAACAATCTGTTGTATTCAACAAAACTTTGTGTTATTAAATGCTGATACTTGGCCTTTACTTCGGGATCCTGAATCATCGTCATCGCTGTGGTGTCGTCTACTAAAATGTCGCACTTGTGAGCCGGACATGCGATAGTGAGGCACTCACCTTCATCCATCACCTTCATGGAGAGATATTGGTTCCAGCAGTCGCCGCAAAATTGGTGTTCGCACTCCAACCCGGTCATCGAGTCTTTAGAGAGTGGATTCATGCAGATGTCACAGTCCTCTGTAGAACCCACAGATAATTTGTTGTTACTGTTACCGATTGACGCAGGATCAACTATGCGAGCCTCGTTAAAGAGGACAGCTCTGTTTTCGGTGTAGAATTTTTCCAGGAGTTTGTCTTCATCCCAATTAAAGTGATGCAGCAAAATTCTCGTAACCGTGTTTGGAACTTGCAGGATAGTGTTAATAGAGGTTATTTTTTTCAGCATGTCAGTAACTATTTCCTTGGAGCCGAGAACTTCGTAACAGTATTTATCCTCTTGCATGTCCACTAAATCCCTATCATCTCCACTTTCATACTCATCCAACTCGCAGTTCGTTAAACAATCGTCATTGGAATCCATTTTTTTTTTTTTTTTTTTTTTTTTTTGTAAAAAAAAATTTAACTCTCAGTATTTTTACACTCAAATTACAGTAATAGTTTTTTAAAATTTATTTTATTTTACGTAATTTAGTTTTTAGAACTTTTTTTTTTATTTACTTCAACCGACACTGATATTTGATGGTTAGGTTTTATAAAATGGCTATCACGTGCACAAACAATTGATAATTTTACGTGGCCGATGACCAACGATGCTAATAAATATATAAACGTATTTAGCAGCAAAACTCGTAGTTGTTGTAAGCTCACGTCCGTACACTTTACAAAGCGTTATGGAATGATGCGTCGTTCATTTATATTTGGATAAAACTAACCTTTAACAGACTGTAGTCAAAATTAGAGACATACTCCATCTTATCCCCACCAATGAGCGGTTAGTTATTGGCTACGTTCAGGTTTACTAAGTTCTGAGCAGGGCTGACTTTATCTATTAAAAAATTAATGGTTAAACACACTTAAATAAATATACCTTGCATTGTTTTATTATAGATTTTTTAAAAAAACAATATAGTTACTTTAAGTTGTTACTACAAGATAGGGATGGGCGATATACATCGATTTTTTTGGTCGATGTTTTTTGGAATCGAAACATCGATGGTCGATGTAGAATAATGAACCATCGACATCGAAATAAATTTCTAGTAGAAATTTTTTAGCGCGGGCTAAAAATTAAAAAAAAATCTCAAAATACCAAAAAAAATCGGAAAAATTTTACAGTTATAAATATGGGAAAAAAATTTATTATACTCGATTGTTAATTAATTGAGTGCATTTTCATAGCTGGAATATGATCTTAGAATTGAAAAATTAACAAAATTTTTTAATTTTTGAAAAATAGCATGTAAAGAGAAGGTACGAAACCGTATTTTCGAATTTCAGACTGTCGTTCGATTGTATCGAATTTTTTTAATCTTTAAATGACGTACGCAGTATTTAATAAATTTTTTTCTCTTATTTATAACTTTAATTTTCCCGATTTTTTTGAGTTTTGAGACTTTTTTTTAATTTTAATCATACTCAATCTGAATCCAAAAATTTTGTTTATCTCGATAATTTCGATTTTTCATGATTTATTGCCATTTTTTTTATTTTTTGCTATTTTTTTTTAATTTTGACGGCTCAACGGGCTAATTAACGTTCAGATTCAGATTCAGTGAATTGAAATACATAAAAATCATGCTTGATCTGGGTTCACAAAATTTTATTCATCGCTGTGACTGCAGTTTTTCGCAATTTTTTGCCTTATTTTGGGTTATTAGGATTTTACTCAAAATTTTGAGGGTGTACGGGCAAAACTGACTTCAGATTCGAATTCAGCGCGTCAAAATACATAAAGATAAGTAGGTCCGGTCAAAAGTACACGGAAAAAAATTAACTGTTGCTGCAACAGGAGGCAGTCATGTTGCAGCAACAGTTAATTTTTTTCCGTGTACTGACAACTTTTTTTTGTGTGCCGGTGTAATTATTAATGATTAGATTATGATTCGTAATAATTTAAAATTATTTCTTTTTGCGCTAAATTTGGTTGTAATAATAATATTTTTGAATTTTCGCGCGCATTTTCAACATCGATGTCTACAATCGAGGTTTCGATGTTTTTGTCAAAACATCGATGGTTCGATGGTGAAAAATTTCGAAAATCGATAGTCCGATGTCGATTTTTTTTGCTAACATCGCCCATCCCTACTACAAGATATGCTAAGATCTGCCAAGAACTTAGTAAACTTGAACGCGGCCATTTTCTTAACCAAAAATACTAGCCTTTGAGGCGATACTACTACACCCCCTATGATATATTACAGTATTAAAATTAGAGCGCGTGATTTAAATTTTTAATTTATGCAAAATTTTACAAATTCACGCTAGAATGTAATTATTGTATTCATACAACGTTGATTTATCATGAAAATGAAGTTAGCCGACATTTCAAAATTCTTAGAAATTTTTTATTGAAAAAATTTCAATTAAAAAATTAAAAAAAAAATTTCACATGTAAAAAACTTGAAAAGCTATAAGTGCAATTTTTTAAAAATATTTTTTTAGTTATAATTTAATTAATAAAAAAAATCAAAAATTTTTGGGAGTCTGCTAACTTCAGTGTCATGATTTATCGGGAATTTTTATAAATAAATAGTTACTCTTATTAATTATTTGGTTAGTTGAATTTAATTTTTTTAATTTGATTGGTAAATATTTTTATATAAATTTATACAAAAAACCAGGGATATTTTTAATCATTTAAATTAAAAAAAAGTTACCGTTCAGATTCCAATGAAAATAAAAAAAAAATTCAAGAGAATAAAATAAAAAGGATTTTGCATTATATATTTAGTTTCTAAACAATTTGTCGGTTCTATATTAAAACTAAGAGTACAGAATTTTTTTTTTAACTGAATACTTGTATCAAATGATTAAATAGATATTAAATTTTAAAGTTTAAAAACACATTCAAAAAAATAATGATATTAAAGTTAGCTGTCACTTAACCATTTTTTAATTTTATTTAACAAAAAAATTTTTTCCGAAAAATTATTTTTAAAAAATTGCATTTTTAATTTATTAAATTTTCAAAATTTTTTTTCTTATTTTTTTATGCAGTAATTTATTTATTATATTATTATTATTAAAATTATTAAATATCTGCTAAATTAATTTTCATAAAAAAATAATATGTTTAATTTATTTACTTTACTGATCCAGAAAGCATTTAGAAAATATCGCAAAGCATCGATAAATAATAAAATACCCAAGGAAAGATGTTAACGCATGGAATGAAAACTGATGTTAAAGAATCAGCTGCTTTGTCAAAGAAAATAGAAGATATTATTAATTCCATTTAGGTAAAAAATACAAGTATAAATATTTGCATGATATTTTGTTAAAGTGTACAATGATGATCAAAGAACACGAATTGTAATACTAAAATATTATTCAAGTTTCCAGTCAATATACCAAAGATTTTTTCCCACTGAAAATGATAAAAGGAGAAATTGCATAAAGGTTACGGTATTGAAATAAAAAGATGAAAGATTTATTATTAGAAAGAAATGGGAATTTTTTTCATATTCCACAAGGAGATTAAAGTAAGATTTTAATTATTATTGACAGTAGATGAAAGAAATGAGAGCGTTGTAATAAAAAATGAATATTCCCAGCCTGAGAGAAGTATTCAAGCAAGAGTTTCATTTAATATGATGCATAAGTATCTTGATAAAATTCATTCTGAATCTGAATGCGTCAATCAACCAGCAATAATTATTCAGGTAATGGAATTTCAGTGTCATTAATTATTCTGTTTAATCTAAACACTTTTTAAAATAAAAATAGTTGATAATTTTTATTTTTATTATCTTCAACAGAGAAATTTCCGAAGAACATCGAACTCCGCACAACCTTTATAAATAAAGAAGCTTAAGACATACGCACTCGATGGTATAGTTGGAGCGACTTGTCAATACTTCAGCATTAAAAATATTAAAAGAAATTCTGTTATGTGAAAATATTTCAAAGAAATCCTTTTATAAAGACGAAATTGAACAACATTTTATCCTTTTAAAAATGGACTTACAAAAAAAAAATATTTATTTGCAAAACAAGACAGAGTTACAAAAAATTTACATCCTAGATTTCAATTTTGATGAGTGAGTTACAAAAATCTATAACGGGTAAATTTTATGTGAATATATGATTGATTAATTTAAGTTGCGATCGAAAACTCTTGGGTTTAAATCGATCGCACAACTGTAACTTGTTGGGTCTACTTAGAGAACTTTTTGTGTGAGTCCAACAGGTCTTACTGGCTCGGTGATCTGTACAACAAAGTTCTTTTGTTGCGTCGTCTGACGTAAGCTGATCAGGGATTTTCTCGCATGACAAACTCTCATCGATCTTCATCCAACTAGGTATTACTTTCTTGCCCTTGGACTTTGACTCCCCAAGGATTTTCCGGTTCTTGGATTTCTCCACGAGAATGTCCATCGAGTCTTTGTGTTTGATCAAACCCTTACCTTTGACTGACTCTTGGCCCTCATAGTCGTCTCCAGTCTCGTCTGTATCTTCAACCGAAGTATGGATCATTTTTAAATTTATTGGTCGAATCGCATTACATCGCTTACAAAAAACTTGCGGTTCTTCGCTTTTGTAGTCATTTAATTTATTCATCTTTCTTTGATGCTCGCATCGCCCTTTTTTCTGGAAATTTATCTCTTGACATTCGGAGCTTATTGAATTATAGTGACGTTGATGGCGCTGACAGTAATTACGACGATGATGAAGATGACATTTTTTTTGACGAGTATGTGAATCTTCGTGGTAATTAATGAATTGTTGTTCTTGTTGTTGAGATTCTTGTTCTAACTTGGAAAGTTTTGATGGAGAAAATCGTTGTATCTTCATTAGCGGGTCGTCGCGAGTTCGACGTTCCCACTCGTGTAGTTTACGTGAAAAGTCGACCACTCCATCATCATTTCGAGTGTCACCTGAAATTAATCGATGACATTTAATTATTTCGAATGAATAGAAACGTTTTCACACTCACTCTTCAATTTATATACGTACTTTTGTAAAGAAGATCGATTGACTCGCTTGTGCGATCGATTGATTTTCTATTGCGATTTGATTGTTCACAGTGATTACGTTTTATTTCGTGATATACTTTACCGCGTTTTATAACACTTGAAACTTCTGCTTCTCTTTGATTACTACAAAATTTACAATAAAATTTTTATAAAAAATTACAAACGCCTCTAGTAATTTATGTTGATAAATTAATAATTCAAGGATAATAAATGTTTTATTGGATTTCGAAAAAAGCACTCTCATCAATGAAAATATTTTTTTACATGAATATATCAATAGTTACAATTTCGCTAACATTCATTATATCTAGAGTAATAGCTGTTGACTTGAGTGGATTTAAAAGGCATGAAACATATTTCTGTAAATATTTTATTATTTTAAGTGCACTCAATTATTCATAGTCGTATTTTTTTATAGCAGTAATAGTGCGTATAAATTTTTCTGATTGACAAAATAATGTAGAGTTTAAAATTAAAAGCTTTTTGCGAAACACGATAATAATTCCAGCTACAAATAATAATTTTTATAATCATTAAAATTATTTTATAATTTAAATATTAAATGAAAGACTTTTAATTGAAAATTGGCAAATTTATTCAAATTTTTTATAAATTCATAAAAATCTGATTGCCGCACGTGACTCAAATGTAGTATCAAACAAATTTAACAAATTTATTTATTTAAAATATCTTATCTTACTTCAATATAAAACAATTATATTTTTTAACAATAATTAATGAATCTCATGTTTGTTTAAGTTAAAAAACCTTCTAAAGTCTTACGAGACATATTAGGACATTTTTTTCAAAATAGAATTAGTATTAATTTGTTTCGTAAAAATTTCATCTGAAAAATAAAACCTTATTAAGTTTTCAATAATATTTCAAAATCCTACTAAGAGAAAAAAATTATTTAAAAAAAATGAACAATAGTGTAATAAGAAATTAATTTGTTTAAAATTTTAATCAATTTTATTTATTAGCTGAACAAATGAAAATTTTTCTCACTGCAACTTTATTATAGAAAAAAAGTTTTCTAGAATTGGTAAAAAACAATTTTGGATGAAATTCACAAGTTGTCTATCTAAAATTATTTTTTCCCAAATCTAGAATAGGATTTTTTGGATTTTTATAATCATTATTTTCATTACCGGTCATTCATTGGTGGGCGGTCACAGACTGGACGGTTTACCCTACTTTTTTTCAATAAGAAAGTTACTGTGAGAAAAATTTTTATTTCTTCAAATAAGAAATATAATTTTAAGAAATTTTTAAAAAATCAATTTCTTATCACAATAATGCCCATTTTAAAAAAAAAATTTTTTTCTCTCAGTATATAAACTTTAAATTCTAGAAATTGAAAGTTGAATGCATTGGATTAGGATTAATTATTAAAATCACTCAAACTATTATTAATACTATTACTAAAATTGCTACTCGGTAATAGTCAATTATTGTTAGATATAAATAATTTTTTTTCGTGTATCATACAAATATTTTTAATTTCACTCCGATCGAACAATAATTGTCTCTATATACTTCAAAAATTTATTCATTAACACAACGTTTTTTATGCATGAATAAAAATAAAACTTTAATAAAAAAATATATATTTACTTATAATCAACAGCATTATAAGAAAACTGATAATCAAGTGAATCTTTGAATTCATCAATCTCATTTTTGTCTGTTTCCTTGACTGCATCCACATTGTTAGTGACATTTTTCATCTTAAAAACACCAACCACAATTGAATCTCCAACAGCGTCAACGGCGCCGAGATGTTGATTCGATTTGTCTTCATCGAATGAATGCTCGTCACCGGCAGATTTACAATTTCGCAAGCAACAGCAGTCACGAGATACTCTCAGCTTCGAGGAAGCATTCCCCGTCTTATCTAACGTAGTTCTCGTCGCTGTCATTACTGTCGTCGTTGGCGTTATCATACCTTTACAACTTCCTTCATTATTCTGTGCATACAATATAAAGATGAGTAATATAATTTAAATATATTATCTTCCATAATATAAATTTATCGTTAAGTGTATATATATAAATTTTTAAAATAATTATAATTATACTTTTATTGATAATGACTTTTGTGAAATTTTACTCCGCGAACAAACTTCTGATAGATTTGAAAATTTTCGTCTCGCCCGATGAAATGCTAATGCGGCGGCAGCTAATTGATGCGACGAAGATGGACAGATTTGCGACATAATGTTGTATAATGAAAAAATAATTCACTCACAAGATAGTTCGTGTCACATTACCAAGCTATTATTTTATTTTTTTTTTTTTTACTACCGTAATTGAGGTTAAAATGTTTCATTAATGATTTAACAAAGTCACAAATGACATATGTCAACTACAAAATCAATTGAACAAATAATTGTCATCTTTGTTTTATATAAAATTATATTAAAAATTGTCAAAGTCATTCAAGATCAAATAATACTGCAGATTGTCAAATCAAATATTAAATTTATAATTCTATAAAATAAAAAATTAAGGACTTTATAAATAAATTGAAAAGAAAATTTGTAATTGTTTTAACTGGGATTTGAATATGAATCCTTCTACTTTTCCGAAAAAATTTTGGCCAGTTCTATCGGAGCCTCACCGTCAATTTTACAACAAATGTTTAACCGCTAGAAAAAAGATCTAGTCAAATACTTATAAGAAGAATTACGCCTTCGGGCTTAATCGTTAAAACTCGGGAATAATCGTATCACTCTATGGCCGTTGCTCATGCGCGCCTTGGTTAGCGGTAAAGAAGCCGGCTCGCGTGGTCTGCTGCAACAGTTGTGCTTGGACTTTTGTACTAGTACGACTACTCTGTGCTAATCAATTCTGACAATTCTTACTTGCATCTCACATTCATTCAAATATTTAAATTATTCATTAAATATAAATAATTATAGTAGATTCAATTATACTTTAAATTCTCAATTCATTTAAATCAGTTTAATAGTTCAGTGAATTAACATAAATAAGTAAAATCAAGTAAATTTATTTAGTGACGCCACGCGGCCATTACGCGCCACCGTTAACAAAGGATTGCATCAGCCACGCGGCTTTAGTCAATCCATAATTGACGCGTGATATTAACAATTATTTACATTAAATCAATTATTAACATTTAATTACGATCTTATTTAATTTAACTTATAAATAATTAAATTCCAATTTCAAATCATTTGACTAATTTCTACATGAAAAACATCAAACTCAATTGACTAACATTCTGTTATCAATTGAATATTATTAGCTCTCACCTAGAGACAAGTGAACATTAATAGCTCTCACTCTGAGACAGTTCAAATTAATTAGATATTACCAGCTCCCACCTTGGGACTTATCTAATTCAAATTATCGATAATTTTCTATCTAAGGCGGCTGAGCTCACCCCTATTGCGTTATTGCAACGTAATTTACACACACATACAATTTAATTGTATAATTTTCATCAAGGAGGTTTTTTCCCAGCTTAGCTGGGTTTTCCTCCTTTGGGGACAAATAAATTCTTCTAAATTGTTCCCCAAAAAATCCAAGTATTATTATTTAATTTCCTAATCCCAACTTTATCGTATAATTTAAAACAATTACGGGAATTATCCGCATTGGATAGTTTTCGACAAAACAACAAACGATCTTTTGGATTTAAATTCTTACCAGTATGAAAATTTGGGTACATAGACAAGTAGCTTAAAACTGAAAAAAAAAAAAAAATTCGTAAGCCAAAAAGGCGCATCATCATCGTTAAGGATTCGTAACGGTTGATAATAATGTAGGTGGAAAAGAAAAGTCTAGATTTAGACACTTCTCATAAAAAATTTCACAGAATAGTATACTTATAAATTAATAATTTTAAACTACACTAACTCAAAAATTCAAACAATTAAAAAAAAATCAAAATAATTAAAAAAAAATCCAAGAAACGGTTAACCCTAAAGGCCATCCCTGAAACTAAGGAGACTATACACATTGGAACTTTACACCTGAAACTTCCCACTGTTTATTTCAAAGTTTAGAGTTCGTCAAACCCAAAAATAAAACTTGTATACTTCTTCGAGTAGTTCGAGTTCATCGCGCTCGAAAATTTAGTGGTTGTCAACACATACTTTTTTGAAAATTCTAAATTGTGATATCTTCCGATCGAATCAATTGTTTTTATGAGACTTGCAGCATTCGATGCAGTTTTTCAAGCACCAAACGATTCAACGTATTATTTTTAAGTTATGTAAAAAAAAACACTTTTTTGGAATTTTAAAAAATTGAATATCTCTTGAACGATTCTACCGATTCTGATGCAGTGTGCGGCAATCGACGCAGTATTTCAAGCACAAAAAGATTATCTCTTACTTAGTGATCCGAGAAGAAATTTCAAAGTTTCATTAAAAAAAAAAAACCATTTTTTTCCGAATTTTTCGACAATTTGTCTTCAACAAATGAACTGATTTCGATTTGGTTCGTGAATTTATAAACATAAATGAAAAGGTAAATTTAAAAATATTTAAAAACCTAACTTTCAGACAGTAGTAATAAACGACAAAAAAATTATTCGACACATCAAAATACGGAGATGCGCGAATGTAGGAAACAATAACAGATAAACAAATAAACATCTTTCATTATAGACAAGAAATTTAAGAAATCTCTCCTTAGGTATTAGCCGGTTTTTCCAAATTAGCGTTTTTGTAGTAATTTTTTGTAGTGTCTAATTTTTTATTAATCCTATGTGCATCTTTCCTCTACAGATAATTTTTATACCTTCAGTATTATTTTGATTTAGCTTTATTTGTACAATTTTTAGCCAACATTTTGTATCAAAACAAATTTTTTATACAGTCGAGTCTCGTTATGAGTCCTATTAGTGTCTCTCTCATATTAACGCAAGTCTGATTAAAAAAAAAAAAAAAAAAAAAAAAATAGGACTCATAACGAGACTCGACCGTACGCCCTTTCGGCACAAAACCCTATCTAACAACTGTAATACGCTCTTTGGCATTTATGATGCGATGTATCCTACGTTATGGATTATTTTAAAGGTTTTTTTAAATTAAAAGTTAGATAATTCATAGACATCTAAAAAACTTGAATAATAATTGATTTATTATAGCATTAGAAGTTATTTACTCATAACTCATAGTTTACCAACATGTACATAATCGATCTCATTAGAACTTAGGAATAGCCTCTTAGCTCCACCAATTAAACTCAACTCGAAGGTTTTACGCCGAATGAAAACGAGCTAGAGAAATTTTAATGATGTTTGCTAGTTTGAAATCAGTCTAAAATGATTGGCAAGGTTCGAACTAACCAAATAGAGTAATGCGTTTTAACGGTACAGTGATTTGCAGTGATAATCTGATGATTGAGCGAATGTGATCATACCATTATTCTTATTTCTTTTTTAGCGGGTTATTCATTAACAATCATTAGTACTAGTATTGCATAATGAAATATTACGAACCTCTGAAGCAAAAAAAGGGTACAAATTTAATTTATTTTGCCATATATTAGTACACTTTAGAAAAAAATTTTTTTTTATTTAATTAATAATTAAAATATGTATTTTTCATGCATAGTAAAAGTATATTAAATATTATATTTTGACAGTAATTTACTATAAAATTTGTTTTTATAGTTTAAAAGACCAACAAAATGGCCCTCAGTGATAGTATAGCTGATCAAAAATCCTGGAATAGCATACACTTTACTAGAGTAGGGTAAAATTTAGTAGATACTCACGTTACGTCCGTTGGGATTTTTATTTTAACAACGGATGTTCATTTACGTCGGTCTAAATGTCAATGAAATTCAAAAAGATTGGAATACATATGATATAATCAAAGTTGTGGTAATAATAATAAAAATTATTATACATCCAATATACCATATACATTTATGATATTGTGACCTAGATATGATGTCCCTAATGGAAAGATCAAAATATGTCAACCACAATATTAATAAAAAAAAATTATTTTATAAAATAAAATATTGGATTTTTAAAAATAACTCATCTTTGAAAAAAAATATTAAAAATCGGAAATCGAAGAGGAATTGCAGCGGAAACAGAGTACATTATTGAATTCTTCCTAAAAAATTTTTTTATTAAATTAGTAAGTGTTTTTATACCAAGCAATTCATACATACATTTTTTCAATAATCCCTCTTGAATTCTCTGTAACTTTATTATTTTATTGCATTTTATTGGATAATTATAGTGAGTAATGAGTATCGATTTAAATATTTTTTTTTTTAAATAGAAATGATCTGCAAAAAACATTCTTGCTGCTCAGTCAAAGTTAAAAAACAAAATGAAAAGTATCCAATTTAGTCATCAAGTTTTTATATTAATCATTATTGAACATTATTCAAGTAAATTTTCTTTTTTTTACGTATTAACGAAAAATTTTAACTTTTACCATAAATAAATATAAAATTAAACATCTAAAAAAACCGTATCAATCAGACTTTATTATTTGTCTAAAATCAGATAATTTCGGTATACTTAAAATAATTAAATTGCTAACACTAAAATTTAAACATCTTCAATATTTTAAAATCAGTAATTACACCATTATTTAAAAATTAACATGATTATTGATTTCGAATATCAAATATATTAAGTTAATTATTTAAATAAGTATTCTAAGCCTTTATTCAGCTTTATTACCCTACTATACTTCAAATGTTTAAGTTTATTTTTGTTAATAGTCAAAAATTACTATTTTTCATTTTACTTAAAATTAAGCTAAAAAAGTTTTTTGCGGTCTACTTTAAATCTGCAGATTCATTACAATCAATCACATGTCGATACATATTATATGTGTATGAATAAAGGTGTTACTTGCTGTGAAATATCACATACCGTAACTGGATCATAAATCATTCAATATCAAATCTCAAGATACTCTGATGAACATCATCAAAACACTTTAAATCATATTTAAAAATGAACCAAATTATTTATGAATTAAATAATCAATTAATGAAATGTTAATTAAAGATCAATGTCAGAAATAATACTAGTGTAATAATTACTGTGAATAGATTCCAATAAATGAAATCCCGTAAGCTATGCGTTAATTAGCATTGAAATAGCTGCAGCTATGAGATATAATTTATATCAAAGACGTACTCTGATGACAGAGGACAGTAGCTTGGCCAATACAGTCAGTTGGTTGGTAACAACGCAGAAACAATTCATGCACTGGAAATCCCGTCAAGCGATTGGACCCATGAAGGTAAGCAATTCTCAGCTATATTCGTGAACAATCCCTCAAATCCTATTATACGCCAATATGAATGGGATTCAAGATCGGATCGTCGCATTAATTACAACCGCATTGATTGTATTTCGGGATAAGCGTGCTTAAACTGATATCGATGTCGACATTTGAATCCGGGTATGTTTGTTCATCTAATTGACACGAATTACTTCAACTATCGACATCCGATCGCTAATGTTTCAACACTCTTACTAATCATCCGATTTGATGACTTTATTTTTAATTGTATTTTTATTTTCTTATGAACGTGAATTTAAAAAAATAAAAATAAAACTACATTAAACCACCGGTTTTAATTATACAATAATTAATTACAACATGATTGATTTTGAGTTGTTGAAAAGTAATATCAAGCATCGTATGTAAATATTCAATTCATAATCAAAACATGAAGCCTTCTATAAATTATGAGGGTCATAATAATTCGAAGAAATTAATACAGAAAACATATTAATGCATATAATAAAAATAAAAGTAAAACCATATTATATTGTAAAATGAATTGAATTTATTGATAAGTTTTCTGTATCGATCTTCATTCAATAAAATGATTCTTTTTTATAAATAGAAACAACTTTATTTTAACTGTACACAATAAATTTAAATTGATTATAATATATATATTACATATTGAAATGATCAATGTATTTGGACGCGCTTTAGTCGATGCATTTCGTTGATAAAAATGAAATTTACAATTAAATTTTTTCTTTTTATTACCTGAGCTACATTGAATTTAAATGTAAACAATGTAACATTAAGACTTGTTAGTTCTCTAAGACAATTAATGAAATTTACCGAGACAAGTACTTTATAAAGATGATCAGGTTAGTTAAGCAAAGATTACTGGAATAAATTGGATTTTTGTCTAGTCAACGAATATGAGGATTCAACTAATTCATCCATGGAGGACAAGCCGCCGGGGGTTGATGCCCTTGTGAGGCTAGTTGGTATTGAGGTCGCTGATGATGATGAGATGAGGGTGGTGGTGGTGGCGGTAATGGAGGTGGTGGTGGTGGTGCATTGCAGACAGACTGCGTTAATAGTAATGAATTGTATGGTGACTTAGTCGAGTAAGGAGGCAACTGATTATGCTCGACATTCATGTGATGCTCCAGAGTTACTCCTTGGACGGGAGATCTAGTTCGATCGGCATCTTGTTGTTGCTGTTGTTGATTTTGGCCTCCAGAAATAGCACGGTATTACTATTATTACCGTCTTGTTCGCATACCTAAGTTCTCATTCATTATCGTCTTACCTCTCGGCCTAATTTGAGGTGGTGGCATATTTGTTGGCAATGGTGGTACAGGATACAACATATGCTGTTCTCCCTCACGAGGAGCCGATGGTGGTGGTGGCGGTGGCGGTGGAGGTCTAGACCAAGGAACACGAACATGGTGAGACTGCCACGGCGCTGCGGGCGGTGGAATTGGCTGTCCTGAGCCACAATCACCAGCATAAGTTTGATCATTCTCTGGATTTAATTTAAATTGATTATTAAAATATATTTTTGAATAAATTAGTATAACCCAAGCGGCACAAATTTTTTTTTTGTTAATGTTTTGTTAAATTTAAGTTGATAATGATTAATTTTTGACTTTTTGTTGAGTAAAATCTATACGGAAAAAAGTAAACTGTAATAAATAACAGTCGATTTATAATAAGTAATGATCAACTGCTAAAAATTACCATTTCAAACAGTAAAATCGTGATTTTACTATTCACTTTATAATATTTACCATTTAAACGTTACAATTTACTTATTATTTTTATCGACCGAATTTTTGATATATAAATTTAAAGTTCTATCGCCGTGCGGCCAAGTGACTAGTAAATCTTAATTCAAGATGGAATGTCCATCCGTTTGACTTGAATTAAGATTTACTAGTCACTTGGCCGCACAGCGATAGAACTTTAAAGTTACAATTTACTCTTTACATGGAAGAAAATACTATTTCAAACAGTAATATTCGCTATGTAAATGTCTAAAATGTTAAAGTATAAGTGTAATAATTAAGAATTCAGACTTTGATGTTTATCATTTCGTAGCTAAAAAATGATCTTATGATATGTAAAAAGTATAAAATAAAGTTAGTAAATTTTCAATACAAGCAACGTCAATATTTACAAAGTAAAATGATAAATTTTAAACGCAACGCTAAAAATTAAACTGTAATTAATGACTTGCTTAGGCTAGTAAAATGTATATTTTAAAAGTATAATTTTTACTGTTTCAAATGTTAAATTCTCCCAGAGTGAGACCTCCTTCTCTTCCATCTGAGTTCCCCTTCTCCTCATAATGTTGACTATATATTGAAATGGCAATTTTTACTGTTTGAAACTGTAATTTTTTAAGATGAAAGAGTCGTTATTTACTATAGTGACAGCTACTAATCACTTATTTTGGACATTAAATTATAAATTGTGGGTTTTATACTTTCTTCATTAAGTTCTGTAATATTTATATTTTTGCCACCCCGATGTCCGCTTTACTGTTTGAAACTATAAAAATTAACCGGAATCCGAGTGAATATTACAGTTTACTTTTTTCCGTGTACCAAAAAGTCGAAACTTTTTTTTTTGTGACGCTTGGAAAATTATTCATACGAATTAAAATGATCAATTTTAAAGAGGTACATTCAACTCCTATTGAAATAATTACCTAAATTTGATCCTGGTTGATCCAAATGCTGTTTATCATCTGTGTACACAATATTTAAATTATTAACGTCATATCAAATTTTTATTTACTGTTGATATTAATTTTACAATATTAATAATAGAAATAAAATAAATAAAGCTACATTTAAAAATATCTGCAATTCTTGTTTTCATAGAGAGCAAAGAGCAATAGGACTGAAAAAAATTAAGTAATAAAATTAAAGCACAAAAGAATGATTTCTGGATACCATCTCATTGAGGCTTCTGGAATCGTAAATTCTAAAAAAAAAAAAATTATTCATAATTTATTATTAATGCACATAAAGAAAATAATCATTTGAAAAATAAACGATTATTTATTTCCGGTGAGTGAAAAAAGGATCTGAAAAAAATAAAATGTACAAAATAATACATTTTCAAGGACCCCCATCATTGTTGATTATCAAACAAGCTATAATTGCACACATAATTTGAGAAACAAAAATTTAATTTTATATTACAACTACAGCCTAAGAGTTCAAGGAAACAACACGAAATACTCGTCGAAAAATAGCAGCTTTGGTATACATATTGTTAATAAAATATAATTATAATTGAATGTTTAAGGAGTCGACCAACGGTGCTATTTGTAAAACTAGTGACTAAAATGACGAGTTATTTGGCATTTTCCAATTCGAATACTCTTAGCTACAGACCTGGATGGATTAGGAGCTGATTTCCATCTTCATGGTGATGGGTAATACCTCCTATCGATTGAACGTGCATCGATTGCTGCTGTCTGCTTAAACAATTTCAAAATAATTAATCAAACGATGTACAACAGACTAATTCAAATTAGTCTGTTGATTAGATCCTTGGATATTTCTGAAATAATAAGTTTTATTTCAATAGGTCCAATGTGTTTATCTATAACGGATATCGCAAAATTTTATTAATTAAAAACTGATATAAATTTATTCAATTAGTTTTGTATTTTGATGACTAAGCCTATTGATATAAGTCTTATTGTTAATTAATATTGAAAATTTCTATCGATAAATTTATTTATATGCTAATAATAAGTTTTTTAAACTAATATTCTTAAATATATCGGCCGCTATTTTCGAGTAATTATTTATTATCGATATTTATTTTTTTTATGGTTTGCATTTAGTCGTAGACTTGATAAATTAAGTTCATTTATGTTTTTTTGAGAGTATTTATAAAGAATTGACCCTTACCCAGCTCTAAAATTAATTACTTAGCAATGTTAACTTGATAAGTTTAATTTATAATTTTCAATAGTATTTGCAGGGTAAAAGTCAATAGAATATTATTAAAAATATGATTAAGTATTTTACAAATAATTTAACGCATATAAAATGATTGAATTTTACCATTAATCAAACATGTGTCACTCTGCAATAAATAATAAACGTTATGTAAGTATAAATTGAATAAGCTTGTAATTAAAAAAAAAAATATTAGTTAATCCAATATCCAAGGAAAAAAATATTAATAATAAATCAAATTTATTAATAATATATGTATCTGTAAATAAAACTTAAATTTGCAATAGCCTGCTTCTGGATTTATCTGCACTATATCTTCTGTGCAGTGTATTTCTAAAGATGAAAATTTTATTTTTATTTTCATATTAAATATAAAATAAATTATTAAATAATAATTGTAAAAATTTTCACACCATCGTGTTCCGTTTTTCTCTAATACCGTAACTTTTCCTATATAATAAAACTCATTCATTCATTCATTCATTCATAAATTAAATGAACATTTTATGAATGCAAACATAAGATTATTAAATTATTTAGAATTTAACTCACCCATTTCCGTGACGTTGAACCGGTGGTGGACCACATTGGTAAGGAACTGCTTCCTACATTAAATTACTTTGTAAATTAAATCGTTTTTAAAGATAAATTATCAATTTAATTCAATACAAAATAATATACCTGAAGTCCCTCAACGTCGGTAAATCTCCTCTTCACCCCATGACCTTTATGATGCTCTGGTGAGTCCGGTTTATGCATTTCAAAGGGTTGCGGAGGTGGTTGAATAGTATAGTGCACTTGCGTGGGTATATGTCCATTTTGACATTGCAATTGGTGAGTATGATACTGAATGTGCGATTGAACTTGTGAAGGTGGTGCATGATGAAACCCTTGAGGCGGCGGTGCTTGAACCTACAAAATTATATATACATTTACATATATATTCATACTTAACCGTTGAGGAGTTTAAATTCAAAAGATAATATTTTCATAAGGCCATGAAATTTTTATTAACATAATTCCTTTTACTACCACACGCCTTACAATGATTTCTAAATATAAATAAGAAAATAAATATTGCACAACTCATGATGCGAAGCATCAGAGAGTACTTTATGATCGAAAAATTTGTTTTGCCTCGTTTTCGCAACTATTTAATTAATTACACGATTGATAATCTAAGTAGTCTAATTAATTTGCTCACCATTCGATAGATAATTTAATGGAGATTAATTCTGTCACTGGTAAAAATCAATTTACGATAAAAGAACCAGAAAAAAATATCAAAATAGTTAAAAGAAAATTCGTTTCAATTAACTCAATTTTCCGTTAAAAACACGATAACTTGCGTAAAAATTCACGAATTTAATCAGTTTTTTTTTTTTAATAGCTTGGCATTCCTTTTGCGGAGATCTCCATTGAAGATGGTAATCTTATTTAATGTTGTTTATTTGTTATTAACGAAAAACTAAAATTAATGAAAAAAATCCACACTCAGTGTGCATGATCAGTTTAAAACATTGCGCAAAAATTGAAATGAAAAAATAAATAAAGAAAGAAATTGTATTTAAAAGTATTAAAAAAAAAAAAAATAGCAAATTGCAAAAGTAATATTTAAATAAAAAAAAAAAAAAAAATAAATAAAATAACATTTAAAATAAACATTAACTATTTTTTTTTATTTATCGAACGAATGAGCATTATGAGTTGTGCACTTTTGGATTTGCCAACCTTTTTTTTTTTCATATTCTTCACTTGATATAAAAACGTATTCTTTCTTTTTAAATATATTAAAATGTTATGTTAAAAAACAAACAAATATGTTTATTGATAAAAAAATTAAAAACCGAAGAAGTACCGTTCTGAATTATATAGCTTCTCAATTATTTCCACAAAAGTAATTACTAACAATAAAGACTATTTACTTGTATTTGCCCTTGATGAGGTGGCGGTTGTTGTGCTTGATAGAGCCATGGAGCGTTTTGCTGTGGCGGTTGTTGATTCGGTGGCGGCATAGTCGTTAAAATATTTATTGGGTTTGGTAATTGATTTACTGTCGGTGGTGGTACCATCTGAGGTGGTGGGGGTACTGGTTGAGGGGGTCCTTGATCAATTGCTCCCTCGTGTTGTCCCTCGACTCCCATTATAAAAGAGCCTTGTTGACGATGATGATGATGATGATGATGATGATGAGCATGAGGATGAGGATGAGGATGAGGATGGGAATGGGGATGATGATGATGATGATGATGATGAGAAGGATGAGGTTGATGACTCGGCGAATGAGAATTTGGCACGATAAAAGTTTGTGTTGATGGTGGAGGTATGTGGAGCGGATACTGGTGATGAGGAGGTGGTTGACCCTCGAATTGAGGTGGTAAAATATGTTGAGCATGTTCAGAATTTTGTTGTAACTGATTGGACTCCTCAGACTGTAGAATAAACTGCGTTTGCGACTGAGGTCCTGCTTGTTGGTATTGTATTTGATATGTCTGAGGTATTGGTGGAGGTGGCTGATTTGCTGAAAAATTCGGCGGCGGAAAATGAAGATGTAATAACGGTGGTGGAGGTTGATGAGTTGGTGGTGGTTGTTGTAAGTTAACAGTTTCGATAGGTGTCACAGATCGTTGGATATTTGGTTGCGTATAAACATAAGAAACTGCTCCACTGACTGGTCCACTATTACTGGCTATGAATCCGTGTTGACTTGGACTCTGCGGTGGTGGATGACTCATAACGTACATTTGTGCGATTGATGGCGTGGAAGAATGTGATACCGATGGCATCTGTATCCCCTGAATATGGACTGGCTGACTGGGATGTATTTGATATTGAACTTCACTTACTGTCGGCGGAGGTCCAATCAATTGTACTTGACCAACAGACGGCGCAGAAGATATTAGTGCTTGCATTTCCTACCAAAAAATTACGTAATAAATTAAAAATAATTTTTTATAAATAATTTTAGGTAGTCTTAGAACGAATAAATTGCAATTTAATTGTGACAGGGAAAATCGAACTTCCCGGGGTCATTTTCGACCCCAACAATTGACGCACGGTAGGTAAGGGCTTTCCCTTACCGTTCGATTTTTTTTGACAAGAATTTCGACTTGTCACCGGGCATGCAGATCACAGGTCCCTACTACTGTCCCCGAAAAACGAAGCGGGATGTAACTATAGGAAAGTTCGAGAGCCCGAGTTCGGGGTTATAAAAGAGCGTACACGAAAATGATGGGGGCTTTTTCCTTTTTCCTCTGGAAGCCAATGGCCTGTTGCTTTTTGTAAATCAGTGACCTTTTTTTTAAGACCAGTTTAAATTAGACAGTGCAGTCTTGGTAATTAAGAAGCAACTACGGAGGAGTTTTATCATGTTGTTTGGAAGTGGACAAGCCCTGATCGGGGGCCAGCATCGTGGGTTGAGACGACAAGACGCCAAGCAGCTGGGCCAGTCAAGTTGGACCGGAGTATCAATCGTCGTTGGTTAACAAAAGTTGAGTTACCAGGTATTTTTGAGTATTTTAGGTCAGAATTGATTAATTATTTAATTAAGAGGCTGAAATAATTAAAGTTAATTTCTCGAGCGGTCACATTGTTACATTAGCAAGTTTAGTACTTTAGAAATTTATGCGTCAAGGTCATTTAGTTTGTTTTCGTTACTGGATATTTATCTTTAGAGAATGAAATTAATAGATTATTGGTGAATTTACGGTAGATAATGGAATCAGTAATTTATTATAGGCCTGTTGGCTATAATAAATTAATTTAGTTAATAATTTCAAGATATAAAGAAAAGTGAATTTGTATAGTAAAGGAAAATGCGTAATTAAGTCAGTGAAGGTCATTCTAGTATGTTCTATAGTTGAAAATTTTGTATTGAAACGCTAAGATATTAACAGTTGATGTTTAGAATTTTGTTTGGAAAAGATTTAATTTAGTAAATTTTGTAACGAGTTCAGTAGAATTTATTAATTGAAAATATTAGCAGAAAATTCAGTAAGTGAACTAGTACAGAAATTTAGTGATTATTTAAGGTAGTTGAATTTATTTGCAGTAAATCAGTGTTGAAGTGAAATTAAGTAGATTATGATAGTATTGTAAGTTTTGGAAAGTTTAATTTAGGCCGGTGGATAATGTAATTGGATTGTTAATTTAGAAAAGTTGCATAATGAATTTATTAAGAAATTGTTTGAATTTAAAGATAATTTATTAGAAAATTTCGATAAAGTAATTCGGTGAATTTAGTAAATTTAGTAAATCCGAAAATTGGATTTTATTTATGAATAATTGTTGAGAGGTTATTTAAGAAGATTTAAGAAATGAGTTTAGATAATAAGAAATTTATGAGTAATTAAATTTAGTAAACCTGAATATGTGAAGAGTTTTGTTGAAGAATTGTGAATTATGATAGGATTAAAATTTGGAATTTTAGTTCAGTAGTGATTTAGATAAATGAATAAGAATTAAGGATGAATATGAATTTGGAAGCTTTTTATGAAATTTGGAAATTTTATATTGTCAGTTATTCCGCCAAATAACGAGGGTTTTAAGTAAGTAAGGAATAGAAGATAGATGCGTAATGGTCTATGATTAAATTTGGAATTAAAGATAGACGCGTAATGGTCTATAATAGAGTTTAGGAATTAAGAAGATAGATGCGTAATGATCTATGTTTAAAAGAATTTAATGATATTTAGTTTATAAGATTTTTTTGTAAGTGCCTGATTGAGTGGGCGTTTTCTGGAAATTTTGTATTAAGATTTTAACTGTAAAACAGTCTTGTTATTTTTTTGATTGTTAAGGTTTATTTTATTGTTGAATAAATTTTATTAACTGGATAAAATTGTCCTCAGTATTTATTTACAGCCTTGTCTCAACTTCTCACGACCCGACTTTCCTGCTCGTGCTCTTCCGGTTTCTGGGACACCGCGAAAATAATCCCAGTGGCGCCCTTTTCATAAGGAAAGGGGTGACCAATTGAACAGGGTTAACCGCCCCGTTACAAATAGTTAAATTTTATTAAAAACTAACAACGGTGTACCTAAAGATTTTGAGTTGTTTATATATAATGACAATATTAAAAGAGTCAATAGTTGTAAATATTTAGGGTTAATGTTTGACTATCATGTAGTGGGATGTGCATATAGTAAATGTTATAAGGAAAACTAGATACTTTTAATATATTTTCCATAAATTAAGAAAAACAATGAGCAAACAATCAATGAAAATAATACACCATAGTCTTTTTGAGAATATTGTTAATTATGCAATTATTGCTTGGAGGGGAAGTTATTAACTCTAAATTTGAAAATTAGTTGGTAATACCATTTGTAAAATTAGTCGCAAATAAAAAATGATATTAATGAAATTAGCGAAATGGAAATTTTACCAAACATAAATTCAGTCATTTATAAAATAACGAAAAACAAAAATCTGTGGCTATATGAATTTAGCCAATTCTTAAATTCTTACTTCAGAAACTTATAAAATTAGCCGATTGTAAACTTTGTGTTATCCCTCGTAATTCTTGAACGGATCAACGGATCAAAAAACAATTTGAAGCATATAAAATGACTTCCATAAATTTAGTTTTTCTGAAAATTAGAGCAGATTCGACCGACTTATTCAAAAGTTATAAGAAGTTTAAAAACGGTTAATTTTACAAGTTTCTGCAGTAAAAATTGGCTAAATTAACGTAGCCACAAATTTTTGTTTTTCGATATTTTTTAAATGACTGAATTTATATTTAGTGAAATTTTTATTTCGCTAATTTCATTAATATCATTTTTTATTTACTACTAATTTTACAAATGACATTATCAACTAATTTTCAATAGTTTATAGTTTATAAACTTCGAGTTTACAATTGGCTATTTTCCAGTAAACTTAAAAACATACTTAAATTAATGATCACGATTGTATGTATGCATATATTATATAATATATCCTATTAATAAATAAATAAATAAATAAATAAAAAACAAAATAAAAATTACTTGAGATTGCGAAGAAGGTACTAGAGGTCCAGAATGTGCTGGAATATGAACTCCTGGTGGTGGAGGAACATTAGCTCCTGGAGCTGGTCCACCTGTCATTGTTGCTGTTAATATAGTAGCAGGTAATGTAACTACACTACTTTGAGCATGTTGTATAATATCTTGGTGTTGAATTGTAACAACGTTTGATTGAGTTAATGCACCAATATTCATGGTTTGAAAGTGAGCTGTTGGAAACAAAAAATAATTAAAAACTTACTACAGTAAACAAAAATACAACAACAAAATAATTACTTTGTTGAATTTGTTGGATTGGTCGATTTTCTAAAACTTGTTGCGGTTGGATTGGCGGTAGTTGCTGCTGTATGAACGACTGAAACTCTGATTGCATTGTTTGTATCAAATTAATTGCTAACTGTTTTGCATTTTGTAGCGCTTCAGATTTTGGATGCCTGCAAAATACAAAGAATTTGTTTTTTTAATTATCTTGAAAGTTTAATTAAAGTCTTATGATTAGTAGTAGTTATAATTAGTCTTACTCTATGTACAAATGCAGTGGTTCAGGTGATTCTGTTCCCAGAGAAGGATCAACAAATTGAGATCCTCGACCTCGTAACGTAACATTTGCTCCAGTTTCTCCTCTAATGTACAATAAATTGGCTCCTCCGGTGCCAATAATACGACCACGTAAGTCAAAACTTTGTGGGGCATTTTCGATGCCGATACAAATTTTTTCTACTGAAGGTACTCCCGTATGTAAGCTCATAAGAGGCGGTGGAGCATTTGTAAATCTACTTGGCCTATTCAACGAACTTTGATACTCCGTTTTAATAATTTCATTAATTTTTTGAATTGCCACTGTAAATATGTGAATATTATATAGATATTCATGTAAATAACAATGAAATTATAATAACAAATAAATAGATCATACGATCAATATTATTTTTCGAGTGGCCTTGAATATAAAGATAAAGTGGACGTTCATTAGGACATCTTGTCTTCTCTTGTTCAGTCATATATCTTCCCCGGGTAGAAACAGTAGTTCCTGTACAATAAATATATCTATTAAAATAAAAAACCATATATTCATAAACTTGATGACACTAATCAAATTTCTTTTCTCTAGTCTTTAAGAAACTATATTATTTTAAATTGGAATTAATTTCAATGTCATTCAGTAATTTAAAGAGTATAACTTTGTCAATAATAAAAATAAATATCGATTCAACAATTTGAAGAACATTTCAATTAAAATTAATAAGCTATAAAACAATGAGTACACTCAATTATATAAATTGACGATATTGTTTTATTTAATATTTATAAAATATAAAATATAGGTATGCATTTAATCTAAGAATCGATAACTATTTTTATACCGTGCATATTTTACAAACTATGTAACTAGCAAAAGTTGAGTATATTTTTAGCCATATACATGATAGTATATGCTATCATATTATACAATAATAATAATTTAATGCGATTAACTGAGTTTTTATCACTTCATATCGTTATTTAATACTTGTCAATCTTTTTTGCCTTTCAGCTGTTCAAACATTTTTAATATAAAATATCATCAGTAAAAGTACTATTGCTGATTACAATATTAAAATATTGAAGAAATTTATCGACTATATTATCATTAAGCAATAGTTGCTTAAATAAACACATTAATACTGTAGTTGAAATTAAAACATGTAAATTTTACCAATTTAATCATACCTGAAAAAGAATTAATTTCATCCTGAATATATCCTTTAGTAAGTAAAGTTCTCGCACTAGGAGGTGTTTCATTAATATCGAATTCTGTTGTAAAAACTTCAGCTCCTTTGTATGTTCCATTTGAGTATGACAGAGCCTATCCCAACAAAAAAAAGATAAAAATTAACAAAATATGTAAATGAATAATAATAGTTTTGTAATAAATCAAGTTACTTTATTTCCATTGGAACCTCGAAATTTTCCTTTCGCCATGAGTGTTGAATTTATTTTTTCAGTAACATACGCCACTGATTTCATATCCACTTTGTCATTCCAGTGTCACATCTACAATAACAATTTATAGTTATAAATAAAACATTATTACAACTTTCTCTACATTTCAAAATAAAAAATTTTTTTTCTCAATTTGTTAAATCTTAATTAAATGGTAAACTGGTTAATTAATTTGATAAAAAATTAAAAAAAGAAAAAAAAACAATAGCGATAGAATGGTATTAGAAAACAATTAAAAACAAAATTTTTGTAACAAAAATAAGAAAAAAATTAAAATCAATACTTAGAATAAAAATCAAATGAATGACATATTCTGTTATTTATTAGATAACAAATAATTGTGTTAAATGATAGTAATAAATAATTACCTAATGGTTTTAAAAAAAAGTTGTGCTCTGAATGTCTTGATACCGGATAAAATAAAATAATCAGTAAGCATTTATAAGAATACATTATTTCATCACACAAATTAACTATCACAATGATGCTCTTCAATGTAATTTAAACATGTTACTATATTTAACATGCATACATTTATTTACGTTAAGTGTGCTAATCGATTGCAATGATTAACAATGGCCGTCTATTTAATATAAAAAAAAAAATTTATTAAAAACTATTTTTTGGTGCATAAGAGAGAAAACCCGGCTCTCAACACTGTAACATACACATGTAGATTACATTTTCTCTACAAAGTAACTTTTTATCTGTCTTTGTCACACTTTGGTGTTTATGTCAATACATCTACTCAGTTTTATTCGCAACTTTGACCGGCTAGTGCTGCACTCTCGCCACATTGAATTAAACTCGCACGAGAAGAGCGAGAGAAATAAGAAAAAAAACGAAAACTCATTCAATTTTAGAAACCAACATCGATTATCAGGTATCGATTGTCAATTCTTCATTTCGAGAGTTTGTAAATTTGAATTTTACAAGAGACAACTTGGTGAAACAAGTAAAATTTTTTTTTAGAACATCAAAATAAATTGGCTATTAATAATGAGTAAAATTTATATAACACTAAAGTTAGCCAACGTTTTTAGTTTTTTCATTTTTTTTTTTAATTATTAAATTAGAACTAAAAAATTTTATTTAAAAATTGCACTTTGAATTTTTCGAGTTTTTTACAAATGAAAATTTTTTTCAATTATTTTGTAATAATTTTTTAGTAAACAAAAATTCTAAAAATTTATAAATGTCAACTTACTTAATTTTCATGTAAAATTTGATTAAAATTAATGAATGGATAAAAAAAATTTTAACCATCACTATACAAAATAAAACCGGCTAATATTTATTTAATTTGTGAATAAATATTTTTTTGAATACTTGTATTCTGTTTCATCTGTACTTCTTTATAAAGAAACCATTAGTAAAATAAAATCATCACTTTTACTTTAATTTATAAAGGCTATTCGAACTTATTCTAAACCCTCAAGTATTTGATTATTTGATTAAAAAAATTTATTTATTCATTTATTGATTTATTTATTTATTCAACGCTATCGGTAATTTACAAAGTTTAATAATAATAATAATAATATAAATAAAGCGTTCGAGTATTTTTTAAATCGTGAAATTAATAATTGACATTGAGCTTGCATAGATAAACAAATGAATACATTAATTGTTAATTATTAAAATCTATATCAAATTATATAAATTTAACTTAAATGATCACAAAAATACTAAATTTATTTAGTGATTTTTGTTCTTTTAAATTTATTAAATCAAATTTATATAAATATATCATAGTAATGTAATTATAAAATTGTTATGCATTTTTACCGTTCAACTTTTGCTTTAGTATATAGTGAAACAAATAAATTAATTAAATAATAATATTTAAGTGTAATAATTCGCTCGATTATAATTTGACTGAATACATTTAATAATTTAATACAAAATTATAAATGTAGTATAACTACTATTAAAAAGATGTTTTTATCATTAGCATAAATATTCGTTCACTGTAGTGAATATCGTGTATCTAGGAACAATCATTATAATTTTTCTCTTGTGCCGTGGTGAATTTAGTAATCTATTTTCTCTCAAAATTAAAGATGTTTTATTTTATATTTGAGGCAAAAAAAAATACTCCAAATAAAATTTTAACATTCTTTTATAAAATAAAATTGATTTATGTAATATATGTTCTGTTTCGACATAAAAATATTTATTTTATTAATTTTAACTAAATTTATTTAATTACTGTAACAAATGTATAATTTATAATAAATTATCTCAAAATATAAAATTTTTTTAAATGTACATGTAAATTAATAAATAAAAAAATTTAAGTGGTTTTGTAATGTCTGTAACTTATCAATTCATTTTTAAATATTTTATGAATCGCTTTAGATCATCATTCTTCAAATAAGAAAATATTTCGATTACAACAGAATGAGGTAGTTTAGATAAAATATCAGAAAGGTGTTTTTCAACTTGTTCTAATAATTCTTTCCTTAGCACACCTTTTTCAAAACAATTTTTAAGTATAGCACTATAAATTGGAAAAGATTTTCTTACTCCATCGCCGGATAATACTGTAGCTATGCTCGCATTTTTTACATACGTTTCTAGTTGATATATATTTTTCTTTAGAAGCTCATAGTACGAAAGACGACTTGTACCAATTATTTCTCTTTGCATTTTTTGAATTTCTTCTTCACATTGTAATTCGTATGATTCCAGCCATACTTTAGCTTTTTGAATTTCTTCTTCTTCCCACTCATCGTGGGGAATTTCAACTTCACTAGCACTTAAATCGACAATTTCAAGTTTACCGGTATGTCTCTTGAGAACTCGCACTTTAATTATATGTTCCTTAAGGATTTTATTTAGCTCACCGTAATAAAATATATGAGCAATACTTTCATCTGGAGTCAGTGGAGGATTTAAATCGGCACCATTAATAAGTAGCAACTCAATTATTTCAAAATAAAATCCTTCAAGAGCTAAATTCAATGGAACTGGCCCTGAGTTTCCATATCTATCGGGAACATTAACATCAAAACCAAGTTTCATCAAGAACTTGGCAATTTTAAAATTTTTCTTTTCAATCGCAATGTATATTGCTTCACCATTATCTTTAGTCTCAGCACCGTAGCTTATTAAAAGTTTTACAATGTCAAGTCGATTTCGTTGAATTGCAAAATTTAAAGGTGGATATCCTATGTAGTAACCAAAAGAATTTTTACGATTTACATCAGCCCCATGTTCCAATAAAAATTCAACTATTTCATAATTTCTATCACAAACAGCCATAAGAAGAGCAAATGGATTATTTTTAGCCTCAACATTAGGATCGGCACCTTCATTTATCAAAAGTTTCACTGCCTCTAAATTATTACGCTTTGTAGCAACATGAAGAGGGGCGAAACCTCTTAGTTTTGCTGATATCGGTGTATTGTCTAAATAGTAAGTCTGGTTTTTAGGTTCGACTTTGAAAAAACTGACATGATTTACATCAGCTCCTGCTTCCAGTATGAGCTTTATTAATTCAATGTTTTCTGTCTTGATAGCCGTGTTAAGAACAGAGTGACAATTGTCTACTTGAATATTGACATCAGCACCATTAGCAAGTAGAAGTTCGACGATATCTAAGCGATTTTTAGTTATGGCAATATGTAGTGGTGAATAATTTCGAAATGAATTTCCTATCCATTTACCATCCATTTCATCATCATCCTCATCATCACTATCATCCCCATCTTTATCATCATCAATAGGACCATACTTTTGCATCAATGCATTGACATTTGGATTTTTGACGAGAATTAATTTTATCGATTTTATTTCACAGTTATTGTCGATGGCTGCATGCAGAATTGTGTAACTGTTATTTTTATTATAAGTGCCTGGACTGTTGATATCCATATCAGATGATATAAGTTTTTCAATGATCTCATGATTGATACCATCAAAGCTCAACATGTTGAGTTACAATTATTTATCTGAAATTTAAATAAATTACAAACTTTTAATTTAGTTATAAAATCTGCAATTGTAATCGATTTTTATAATTTTTAAATGACACTGAAGTTGACAGACATTAGAAATTTTTTTAGAATTTTATAGCAATGAAATTATTATGAAAAAAATTTAATAAAAAAAAAATCACTGGTGAGTATTAAAATAAATTATCAGAAAAAATTTTAAAAAGCATAATTTATTATTACTATTGATTGTTATAGGAATTTAAAAAATTGACAGCTGTCAGCTAACTTCAGTATCATGTTTTTATTAAATTATTTTCAACTTATTTTTGTGCTCAAAAAACTGCATTAATTCCGGCAAAACAATTAAAGCAGTCATTAGTCAGAAATAAATCCAAAAATAACCGACGTCTTGTAAAATGTTACTGGAACCTTTCATACATATGCGTTGAACATAAAGTTGTAACGAAATATTTAAGTACAATCTTTTAAAACATGGGGAATAAAAAGAATTACTAAATTTAATTACTCAATATATTCAAATAAAAACACAATTACCTTTATTTTTTATAACAATAACCTGTTGTTTGTGATTATAGCCGGTATCATGTGTTGGTTGTGTCGTCACTGATGTTAATAAGTATATTATGACGTATGACAGACCTACCAATGTTTAAATTTCGCGTCTAAAAAATTCAAGCAACACGTTTTTTTCAGCCAATAAAAATCCAGATATTTAAATTCCTTTTTTTGGAGATCTGAGTACATGACCTCACCATGGACGTCAAAAAAGATTTTTATTTTTTCATTTAAAAAAAAATCATAGTCTAAAAATTAAAGATTAATTAAAATTGGTCAATATGAAAAAAATTACTGTGATATCAGCGTTATTAGTAATAAGTGATTAAAAAATATAAAATGGTTTGCAATTTTTTAGTCACAAAACAGTCAATAGAAAGTTATAAAGATGTATTTATATCTTTGTTATTTTCTTTTCATATAAATAATATACATATATAAATCATGTCGGTAAAATTATTTTATTCGAAGTTTTTTTTTTACCAAGATAATCATTTTCTAAAGTATTCAATCACGTCTATTTAGATTACAAGTTCATAAATATTTTTTCAATTAATATAAGCCAAACATTATTGAACACTAAACATTGAAAGAAATAACGATGAGTGGACAAAGGAAATGTTAATAATAAAATTTATGTTTTCTTTCATACAATACAGTAAATTTATTTAATAAATCCAGTATTAAAATATTAATATTTATTTATTCTTTGATAAATGTGTAGTTTATAGTAAAATATTTCAAAAAAATAAATTTATTTTAAACATGCATTTGTATAAAAAAATAAAAACAATTTAATTGATTTTAGAACGTTTGCAACTTTCTATTAATTTATGTTCAAATATTTTATGAAATGCTTTAAGTCGTCATTCTTCAGATAGGAAAATATTTCGATTACAACAGAATGAGGTAGTTTAGACAAGATATCAGAAAAGTGTTTTTCGACTTGTTCTAATAATTCTTTCCTCAGTACACCTTTTTCAAAACAATTTTTAATTATAGCCCCATAAATTGGAAAAGTTTCTTCTACTTTATCACCAGACAATACTGTAGCTATACTCGGATTTTTCGCATACATTCCTAGTTGATAGATATTTTTCTTCAGAAGCTCATAGTATGAAACACGACTTGTACCAATCATTTCTCCTTGCATTATTAGAATTTCTTCTTCACATTTTGCTTCGAATGATTCCAACCATTCATTAAACTTTCGTGAATCTTCCTCATCATTCTTATCGTAGGGTATTTCTACATCACTAGAACTTATGTCTACATTTTCAAGATCGCCGGTATAACTCTTCAGAACTTTTACTCTTACTATATGTTCTTTAAGAAGATCATACTTTTCACAATACCAAAAGAGATGAAAAATACCTTCATCTGGAGTCACTGGACAATTCATATCAGCACCGTTAATCAGTAAAAACTCGATCATATCTAAGTCTGTTCCATCAAGCGCTGTATTCAATGGAACTGTTCTTGACTCTCCACTATCATTATCGGGAACATTGATATCAAAACCAACTTTTATCAAGAACTTGGCTAGTTCAAGATTATCCTGTTCAATCGCCTCATGTACTGCTTGAGCATTATCATTAGTTTCAGCACCGTAGCTTATTAAAAGTTTTACTATGTCAAGAGAATTATTTTGAATCGCAAAATGTAAAGCTGGGTACCCTCTGTACAAACCCCTAAATTCTTTACGATTTACATCGGCTCCATGCTCCAATAAATATTCAACTATTTCACAATTTTTACTTAAAACAGCCATAAAAAGCGCAGGTGAATTATTTTTAGCCTCAACATTAGGATTAGCACCTTTGTTTATTAAAAGTTTCACTGCCTCTAAATTATTACGCTTTGTAGCAACATGAAGAGGAGCAAAACCTCTTAGTTTTGCTGGTATCGGTGTATTGTCTAAATAGTAAGTCTGCCTTTTAGATTCGACTTTGAAAAAACTGACATGATTTACGTCAGCTCCGGCTTCTAGTATGATCTTTATTAATTCAATGTTTTTTGTCTTGATAGCCGTGTTAAGAACAGAGTGACAATTGTCTACTTGAATATTGACATCAGCACCATTAGCAAGTAGAAGTTCAATGATATCTAAGCGATTTTTAGTTACGGCAATATGTAGTGGTGAATAATTTCGAAATGAATTTCCTATTTTCTTAACTTTTGAACTTTTACCATCCATTTTATCATCATCGTCATCGTCATCATCATCATCATCATCATCATCACTATCATTCTCATCTTTATCATCATTAATAGGACCATACTTTTGCATCAATGCATTGACATTTGGATTTTTGACGAGAATTAATTTTATCGATTTTATTTCACAGTTATTGTCGATGGCTGCATGCAAAATTGTATAACTGTTATTCCCATTGTATGTGCCAGGACTGTTGATATCTACTCCAGATGATATAAGTTTTTCGATGATCTCATGGTTGATTCCATCAAAGTTCAACATGATGAGTTACAATTATTTATCTGAAATGTAAATAAATTACAAACTCTTAACTGACTTATAAAATCTGCAATTGTAATCGATTTTTATAGTTTTTAATAAATTATTTTCAACTTATTTTTGTGCCCAAAAAACTGCATTAATTTTGGCAAAACAATCAAAACAGTCATTAGTCAGAAATAGAACCAAAAATAACCGACGTCTTGTAAAATGTTACTGGAACCTTTCACATATGCGTTGAACATAAAGTTGTAACGAAATATTTAAGTACAATCTTTTAAAACATGGAGAATAAAAGAAATGACTAAATTTAATTACTCAATATATTCAAATAGAATCATAATTACCTTTATTTTTTAAAACAATAACCTGTCGTGATTATAGCCGGTGTCATGTGTTTGTTGTGTCGTCATTGATATGTTAAGTATTATGACGTATGACAGACCTTCCAATGTTTACATTTCGCGTCTAAAAAAATCGACGCAACACGTATTTTTTTAGCCAATAAACACAAAGCAGTTATTAGTCAAAAATAAAATTCAAGACAAATTATAGTTTTTTTTCAATTATCAATCAACATAAGTAATAATGAAAATAAACAGAAATAAATTGCCGTCTTGTCTATATTGATGAATAAATACTTATATGTTAAATTCTTAATCCATAAAATTTTATTCTAGGCTGTTAAAAACTAATTCAAAAATTAGTTTCAACTATTGTTGAAAACCCTGTTAAACCTTAATAGGACACAAATTCAGATTTGACAAGATCTTTCTAATCATATTCTAAATTTAACTGAAAAAAAAAATCCATTTCATTATATGAATAGATCAAAAACAAAATTTTTCTTATTTTTTTAATTATATTGATCATTAATTTTGTAACAAAAATAAAAAAAGAAATATACTTAGTTATTAAAAATTTAATTATAAGCAGTATATGGTTTATAAATAGAAATTGTCCTTTAAAATAACACCTTCCATAATTGATATTCTTAGTAAAAAATAGATTTTCTTTTACTTGACTTTATCACCAAGATAATAATGAATTAATGTTTTTTGTTTCTGAATATTTTTTTTTGCCAAGAATTAGATGGCAATTATCAATAAAAATGTCAAAGTAACAAAATCTATGAATCTCAATAAAAATCGGAATGAATCGACCTTGTTTAAAAACTATGCGACTAAACTATTAGCTGTCAAGTGATAAATTTTATTTAGCTTTATAACCCGAAAATGATCAAATACGATAATATAAAGATTCAAAATTAATAATGATATTTTTTGCCTTGAATTACTTATTAATGAATAGATCATATTTTAATAGAAAAAAAAAATTATACTTACTCAATAAAATAAATATTCAATATTTTAATTGGATGCTTTGACCTTCAAGTATCACTGAATCCTTTTGCAGGTACAGAATATAAAGTTATTGCGGAAGATGTAATTTTTACAATCCTGTTAAGCATTTAAAATGAAGATAATTATTATATTTAAACAAAATAATATTATTAAAAGAAAATGTAGTTACCTTTATTTTTTAACACAAGTATCTTTCTTTGTTGAAAATAATTATACTGCCTACAGCGTATTACAGTTGGCGTCATACATTTGTCCCATAATTGATTTCCAGAAATAACGTATTTATATATACCAGCTACCAGCTATCATCTCCATACCCAAAAAAATGTGAGCCACGCGTATTATTTGACTGAAGAGAACACTAAATATTGTTGATAATATATCATACAAGCATGTGGAATAGGAATATTTCAAAATATAGAATAGAATTTAATTTTATAATTTTTTCTACAAGTATCTACTAGATATGAATGCGCTGCCACGTCGTAGACATCTAAAAAATTTTTAGGCGGGATCAATTGAAAAAGTGTCGACATATTTAACAAAAATTTTATAATATATTTATTAAAAAGTGCTTTTTATATTAAATCGACAATATTTATACTCAGCTCAGTCATCACATCCAATAGAAAAGTACTTAAAATTTTTCCTTTAATATAAACCAACAATTAGCTTTTTTATTTATTTAGAAAAATAAAGATTTTTAGCATCTAATTTTAATATATTATGATTAGTTTAATTAATATTTTTATATACTACTTGATCCATAGACAATAAAAAATTTTAATCTATAAAATGATTAAATATATGTTTAAGCATTTTAGCCAAGTTATTTTAAAATAAAAAAAAATTAATTAAACAAATTTAAAAACTTAATAAAAGCCTTATTAATAGAATCTTTAGTTTCATTTATTAAAAATTTATAGAAAACATGAAAAATGTTACAATGATAAAATATAATATCTAATGTTCTGAGTTTATACTCTTAAATAGTGTCGTTAAAAAAAAATAATTCTATCCATTGAGTGATAAAGTTATCAATATTTGATGTACGGATTATTTAAAATCAAATCAAAATTTTCTATTAAAATATTTAGGTCACCAAGCAATTTTATAATTATTAAAACTTTGGTCATTGATAAAGAATAATATCGTATATTTTTATTATTTATTTTTCCTAAAGACTGGTTTATAATACTTTTTAGATATTTTCGGTTTATTGGCTATCCAGTCTACTACAACAATTAGACCGTCCGAATTATTTTTTCAGTCAAATTTATCTTTAATGATAAATTTAGATATGAATTAAGGATAAATTGTTTATGCCTGGAGGGAAATACAGGCCAAGAATATAACGAAAAATTAGAGAAAAAAATTGTTGTATTAGTCTGGATAGCCAATAAATTGAAAATATCTAAAAAATATCGTATATTATTAATAAATCTCATTATTAATTTCTTTTCGTTAAGTCATTAACAACTTGATCCAATTGTATTCCAAATGCTGTAAAACTAAATGATTCGATAACTCTCTGTCTACCAGCATTACCAAATCTTTTTCTCATTTCACTATCCTTGATTAAATCAGCTATTTTATTGGCAAATCCCTCAACAATATCCTGTCCATCAACCAAATAGCCGGTCACACCATTGACGATAGTTTCCATTGGACCACCAGAGTTATGTGCAATAACTGGTTTACGTAAATACATAGCTTCTAGAGGTACAATTCCAAAATGTTCATTTTCCGGTGTGTAAATTAACACATCACAATTATTTAATAACGAAATTTTTTCGCTATCCTTAGGCGATTTCAAAAATATTACTCGATCAATAATATTCAATTTAGTTGCATAATCATAAAGTTCTTGATAATAAGTAACATTTTCATTAACGCGTTCATCATAGCCACCAGCAATTATTAAATAAATATTATTACTAAAGTTTTCAGTACCTTTGAATTTTTCAATGCAGGTAGCAAGTGCGTCTATGGCTAACAATATATTTTTCTTACGCTCATAACGATTGATCGATAATATTATAAAACGATCAGCTGGTAAATTGCTCAATTTATCAGCGAAAACGTTCTTCAGCGGCTGAGGTGTAGCAGCGTCAAAAAAATCGGTGTGAATTGACGGAAACAGAATCTCTGGAGTTATATCCAAACTTTTAAATGTTTGTTTAAATACTTTCAAAGTATAGTTACTGTTAACAAAAATCTTATCTGCTTGACCAGTTGTTTTTTCTTCTAAATAATTTAATGGAATGCGATAAAGTGATTTAAGCCAACCTCCAGGTTGAGTTAGTAATTGATCTGGGTGATGACAATAAAATATGACATAGTCCGAGGCCATACGTAGGAATGGAATACAAGCAGATACAAGATCACAAACTATAATGTCAGGACGATCTGACATAAAGTAAATGGCTAGTGCCGCGTAAATCATCCGTATATAAGCAAACGCTGCATAAAATTTTCCAAAAATATGACGTGGTATCCAATTACCAACCACTGTCACCGGCAAAGTTCCATTGTTTGTTTCTGCAAAACTGCGTTTCGGATCATGATGTGTTGTAACAATGTTGACGTCGTGGCCGAATCCCTTCAGTGCCAGTGCAGCATCAACAATTAACCTTTCAGCACCACCAATTCCTAGGTCAGGGTGTAAGAATGTTACCTTAACCATTTTTTAACCAAGTGTAATTCACGATGAAATTCTTAGCCTGTAATTAAAAATAAAATATTAAAAATAATTTCTATTTTGTGATGAAAAAATTTTAACTGTATTTTTAATTTTTAACAAAACATTTAAATTTTACTTTAAGTTATTTTTTTTTTTTGATAATATTCATGCATCACAACATTTATTTACTCTATTTTTCTTAATGGCTACTGTCTCGATTGAGCCACGTGCCAAGTGCCAGCACAATGTTTTTTTTTTTTTATCAATGTAAATAAAACAGTCAGTTACAGCGCAAGTGTCATAAAATTGTAGCCGCTAGATGGACTGTACATACCTTATTTTTTACTGATAAAGGTTCTTTTTCAATTCATCTGTTTCAACTCACGTTTCAACTCAAATCACGGAGAATTCAAGAAAATGAGCGCAGGTAAATTTCAAAGATGTGTTTTAAAGTATTTTTATTTAGAAATAAAATTATAGAATTGTTTAATTAGACATCTTACAAAATTTGATGATACTGAATTTAACAGACATCTAACAAATTTTTTAGATTTTTATAACAATTAAATTATAATGAAAAAAATTTACCAAAAAAATTCTACATGTAGAAATTAAAAAAAAAAATTGTAGGTACGAATTTTTACAAATATTTTTTTATGCAATAATTGATTTGCTATAAAAATTTGAAGAATTATCAGATATTGGCTAATTTCAGTATCAGAACATTTGACCATTATTATAATTATTTATTATTAGGTCATGTCAAGAAATTATTAATAAAAAATAAAAAATATATGACATTGAAATTAGCTGACACTTGTCCACTTTTTGATTTCATATAAAAAATAAATGAGTATTAAAAAATTATTTTAAGAATTGCATTCACGGTTTTTTTTTTTTTTTTTTTTTAAATTTCTTCTGGGGAATTTTTTAAAAATTTAATATACGCAGTAGTTATTTTTTGGAACAAAAAAAAATCATAAAAATGGTCATGTATCTGTTAATTTTATAATCATTAAAAAACTTTCTGTAATGTTCCAGAAACGTAACAATTTTTAAAAGTTCTCTTGAATTTCTCGAAAATTTCTATACCTTCCAAGTCTTGCCAGAATTTTTCAAAATATTGGAAAAATTCCGAAGATTCATCACTCTCCAGAACATTTAGAAATACTTTAGAATAATGTAACAAATGTAAATAAGACAATAAAAATGTTGAATTAAAAATCTGTAAATTAATGATATTTTTTAATCAAATAAACCGTAAAATTATTAAATTAATTTTTCTTAAATATTGAAAATTTATGAATAACAATATTTTAAAAAATATCCACCAAAAATCTAAATTTAAATAAAATAAAATTACCGCCAGTTTTCAAGTTTGCGCGCTTGCGCAACTTTGACATAACCAACTAGATTTGTTTATAAGTAAGAGGAAAGCACGTGTGTTTATTGTCTATTACTTAAGTTTTAGAATTTTATGTGTAATATTTTTTAATAATTTATTACATACCCACATTTATTAATAAATTATTATTATCAATGTCAATTTCAAAGTAATAGTTATTTACGTTGAAAAAAATTTTTTAAAACTGTTAAATATTTTGTTAATTTAAAGTGAACAGTAGTTGTTGATAAAATTGTTCAGAATGAATGCAGAAAAAATATTGAAAAACAAGTCAACTTATTATAACTTGACTCAAGAGTTTAATCTTTCTGATACTTTGACTAATTTAATAAAAGAAGAGCTTGAAATAAATAGTGATTCAAGTGAATTATTTAATGTCAATTGTTATAATAACTTAAAGACGTTGGATAATTTACCAGCACAGGATGTTAATAATGAAAGATTAACATGTACAGAGTTGAAGCCAATTGATTTTAACGTATCGTCATGCTTTAAATCATCGCCGATAAAAATATCGGCTACAAAAAATTTAAAAAATGTCAACGGTAAGACAAATCCAAGGAGACTTGGTTATTCTAAAAAACGTAGAAGTAGAAATATTAACAAACGAAACTTGACAGCAAATGAATTTCTAAAACAAGGTGCTGATGCTGATCATCATACAATTGTTGAAAGTAATTTTGACAATGAAAGTAAAGAAATAAAAACCGTAAGTAAGTTGATTAGTAACGTTGAAAATAAAAATATTCTTTCTGAACCAATGATTCTAGAAAAAGATAATCAAAGGATTGTTGATGATAGTCTTTATAATTTAAATTATAGTATAAGTTTAAAAAAGTCTAGTAATAATGTCGAAAAAGAAATTGATATTGATAAGGATTGTAATAAAATGCAAAATGGAAAAATTTTATCAACATCAATGATTCATGAAACTTGTGATGAATCAATTTTAAAAACTAGCAATTATTCTGAAAATATTGAAGATATTCAAAGGTATATTGAACAAACACAAGATAAGAATAAAATTTCAACGCCAGTTCAAGAGAAAAATAACGAAACAATTGCTGTGGAGAATTTTAACAACTTAGATCAAGAATTTATTATTGAAGAAGAATTTGTTATAGATGATCAGCCCGTGTGTGATGTAAGAAATGAAAATATGATTCTAACATCAATGAATTCAGAAGAGAACAATGAACCAATGGTTGTTGATAGTCCTGGTGGTTTGGATAAAGAAACTGTTATCAAAGAAAAATTTACTATAAATAATAATAAATCTATTTGTAATTTAAAAGAGACAAACATAGTTATGGCGCCAATCACTTCAGAGGAAAATTATAAAGCTGCTGTTGATACTGCTCATATTTTAGATCACAAGACTAATACTCAAGAAGAATTTATAATTGATAATAAGCCCATTTGTGATTTAAAGGAGAATAATATGGTATCTATACCAATGGCTGTAAAGGAAAATTATGAAACTGCTGGTAAAAATATTGATCGTTCAGAACAAAAGACTGATATTGAAAAAAAATTAATTATAAATAGTAATAAATCCATGAATGATTTAAAGGAAAAAAGTATGGTCCTTGCACAAATGGTTTTAAAGGAAAATGATAACTCAGATGGTGAAACTGTCATCGAAGAAGAATTTACCATCGATAATAATCCTATTTGTGATGAAAAGAATAATAATATGATCCCTATACCAATGACTGTAGAAGAAAATTATAAAACTGCTGGCGACAGCAATATTAACAATGTTGATAATTTAGATCAACAAACTAATATTGAAAAAAAATTGATTATAAATAATAATGAATCCATTTGTGATTTAAAGAAGAATAATATGGCCTCTATACCAATGACTGTAGAGAAAAATATTGATAATTCAGATCAGGAGACTGTAAATGAAAAACAATTGGTTATAAACAATAATAAACCCATAAGTGATTCAAAGGATGAGAATGTAGTGGCTGCATCAATGATTCTAGAGAAAAACTTTAAAACTGCTATTGATAGCACAATTTCAATGTCAACGGTTCACGAGAAAAATGTAGAAGAAACTGATTTTGATAATTCAGATCAAGAAACTGTTATCGAAGAAGAATTTACAATCGATAATGATCCCATTTGTGATAGAAAGAAGAATAATAAGGTCTCTATATCAATGAGTGTAGAGGAAAATTATGAGACTACTGGTGACAATGATGACAATTCAGATCAAGAGACTGATATTAATCAAGAATTGGTTATAAATAATAATAAACTTACGAGTAATACAAAGGATGAAAAGGTGGTCTCTGCATCAATAGTTTTAGAAAAAACTTGTGAAACTTCTGTTGATAGCACAAGTTCAATGCCAATGGCCCAGGAGAACAATGTAGAAGAAACTGCTGTTGAAGATTTTGATAATTCAGATCAAGAATTTATTATTGAAGAAGAATTTACTATAGAAGAAACCCCTATTTTTTGTGATTTACAGTATGAACATAAGGTTTCAACATCAATGACCCCAGAAGAAAATCATGAAATGACATCTGGTAATGATGTTGGCAGTTCAGATCAAGAAATTATTATTGAAGAAGAAATTGTTATAAACGATTTCAATGATGATGTTCAAAGTGAGAATAGTGTTTCAATACCAGCAGCTGTTGACAATGCTTACAATTCAGGACAAGAATCTTTTAGTAACAAGTCTGATGATTTACAAAACGAAGATATTCTGCCAGCGCTACTTAACTTCATGGATAATAATTCTATAACTGTTCTTGATAATACTGATTGTTTAGACACAGAAAAAGATTTGAATAAATTTATTGATGAAGTATCAAGTGAAAATATTTTTGCAATACCAATTACACCAGAAAAAAGTAATCACGGTAGTTCTGAAAAGAGTGATCATGTCTTCATTACTCCTGTAAAAAGATTAAATAAGAATTCAATTAATGATTTAACACCTTTAAGTCTAGAAGGACTTAATTCTGATGACGAATATGACAAATTGTGCAATGAAAAATTTCTTAATCCTTCTCATAATTTCCAGCAAAGATCAATTCGTTCTGACAGTGAATATGAACGCATGTGTGAAGTGATACCAAATAATAGTATGGAAGAAGCAAAATTCAATTATGAAACTAGTGATCTATTAAATTTCAATGATATTGATCAATCAACTAACGATAAGTTAGCTGATTTACTGAAACCGCTGGAAACTAATTCTCGTAGTGGAAAAAATCAAGATTATATGATAACAATAGATCCATTGATTGATCATTCAACTTCGGGCGGTTCTTTAAGTGATATCTCGGATGAAAGTGATTTGGGTATTGAAGTTAAAAGTAGACATATTAAAAAAATGATTAAGAAAAATGCTGAGCGAAAGAAATTTTTTAAAATACAAAAGAAATCTCATAGTGCACAAAGTAGCAATTCAGTAGTTGAAAATGAAGACAAATGCACTGAAGAAACTAGGTATAGAACGAGAAGAAAACGGTTGAGAAGTAATGGATCAATCAACTATAATGAAGATACGGGAGATAGTTTAGATGATAATTTACGAAAGAAAGTAAATAAGCCTAAGGTAAAACGTACTAAGAAATCATACAGCAATATTGAAGGAAGAAGAAGTTCCAGGCTTTTAAAAAAATCTACTAATAAGGAAAATAGTCAAGATGGTAAAGGAGACTGTGTAAATAATGTAAATAGTGTAAATAATGGTAAAAAACTTCCAGTTATTAGATTACGGCGCATAAATAGCTTAAAACCTCAAGATTCTAATAATCAAGAGAACGGAGAGATATCTAAAAAAAATCCTGAAAATTATGTATGGGCGATGAATTTTGACGGTTCATTTAATGAAAATGATCAAAGTTCTTTCAAAGATAATCAAATTTTGAATTCAAATGACATGATAGCAGAAGTGAATGAAAGTGTTACCACGAAATTTTTCAGTGATGAGGAAAATCAAAGAAGTTATAATCAATTGACTAATTTGTCACTTATGAATATAGACGATCATTTATCTGAAAAATTATTAACTAATGACGTAGTTAATACAAGAACCGAGTTATTAGATGGGAAATCGAATGACAAAAATAGAGAGAATAATGATGAAAATACAACTAATTTAGATAGTTTAGCAAAAACAAATTTGAAACTCGAGAAGGAAGAAATATTCAGCCCTATTTCACGGGAACTTTTACATAAATCTAGTCCTTGTGAAAAAGAACCAAGTGTTGAGTTTGGGGAACAACCTTGTAATGAAATTCAAGAAAATATGGACGTCGGCCAGCCTGCTGAAGAAACGATGACGGAATGTAGATTACAAGATACGAGCTTTGTAGGAAGACAAATTAAAATAGGTGAAAAAATGAAAGAATATCTTAACGATACTTATCAATCGGACGTTGATGGAAATGTAGTAAGTTCGTCGACAGAGAAATGCTGTACTGAAAAATCACCTACTAAACTAAAAGTGCATAATAACTCAAAGAGTCCAAATGTACCTACATCGAGTAATGACAATAAATTAATAGAATCTGAGTCTGAATTATCTGACGCTAATAATAATCATGACTCTGATTTTTCTGATCCATCATTTTGCAGAATGAGTGAAAAATCAAACGATTCAGAATCTACGAACCCGGATGAGATTGATGGAAGCAAAAAAAAATTAATGAAAGTATGTTGAATAGATTGGTCTTTATGTCAAAGATTTCATTTTTTGTATGTTTTTTTATTAATATTTTTTTTTTTTATTTTCAGAAACTAATGTTTTTAAAAGTAAAACTTGAACACAAGGTTCCAAAACAACATCAACTTGAAAGAAATACGGCGGATCCAATTACTCCAAAACTTAGGGCTGAATTTCGTAAATATGCAGAACTACAAACAGGACAATTTACAGCAGAAGAAAATGAAATTCTGCGAAGAAATTGGGATCGTTTTTGTGAGGTAAAAAATAATTAAATCACTAATTTAAATTTTATCGTTTCTCAACACTAATAAAATTTTTATTTTTATTAGGTTCATAAGTTAGATCCAAGTTGTGTAACACTGCTGTTACAAAAATATGATCCTGCTAAATCATTAATCGGTTACATGAAAGATAGAACTAAACTCTTGCAATTTTTGGCTAGAGATCTACCAAATAGACTCTTGAATAAAGTCTACAGACGTTTTAGATATTTATACGCAGAAGGAGAAAAAATAAAACAGTAAGTTTTACTTTTTAATATCTAATACTAGTATGAAATTACCAACATCATTATTTTTATTTGTTATAGGAAGCCAAATATCCACCAGTTTTTGGTCAAAGAGGATAGAATGATTATGAATTATATGAATGATGAAGATAAACCAGATGATGAGAAAAATTTGAATAAATTGTCAAAATTGTTGAAACGACCGGAGTCAATAGTATTTGAGCGTTACAATACACTAAAGAATGGACAAAATGCATTTATTGGGGAAAGAAAGAAATATAATGAATGGGACATATTAAGAGCCGAGAAGTTTATAAAAGAGTTTATGGATTTAACTTTAACTGAAGACATTGAGGAGCTGAGATACGCCAGAATTCCACATTGTATATGGATCGAAATGGAAAAAAAATTAAAGCTTCCCAAACTCAAGTTAAAAAAGTTTTGGTTTCATCAGCTTCATGTGCAACTATTCAATTCCAAGCCTATTTTTTCTAGCGATTTAAAGATTATGTTGATTGAATATTTATATGTCAAAGGTATTTCTAGTAGAGATCAGATTGATTGGTCAGTTGTTGCCGAACACTTTGATAATTATATAACATCGGAATCTCTAACAAAAATATTTACTATATTGCTTAGTAGAGTACCGATCAAAGATGAAGAAAAAAATTTACTAGGTAAACTTTTCGATTAATAATAATTAAATTAAACGAATTAATTTTATGTCATTATCATCATAAATAATTATGAATTATCTTTTTTTTTTTTTTTTTTTTTATTACAGATTGTATTGAGTGGATGTATGAAAACAAAATTCCTGAAATAACAGAAGCTAGATACGACTATCAATTGCCACGATTAGCTTATAAAGATGGAAAATTAGAAATTATCGATGATTATTGTAATGGAAATGGCTCAGAACTCTCATCAGATTGATTTTTACAGCTTTATTTTGATGTAAATAAGAAAATTTTATTGATAATATATTTTAAATAAAAGATTGATACTATAAAATTGGAGCTTGGATAATTTAATTTGTTTATTACATAATAATTAAATGCTTGTTAAATTTTGAAATCACTTATGAAATCAAACGTTACTCTTCTTTGATCGTTTTTCAATTGCTCGTTCTTTAGCTTTCTGATAAAGAGGTACAAGTTTACCTTCTTTTGCAAGTACTTTTAACAATTCGACAATTAAAGGAAGATAATTATGTTTACGTCGCGCATTTTCAATCTTATATCTTTTAGACTTGTTGACTTCATCTTCAATCAGCGATTCTAGTCGTGCAACTTCTGCTGGATCACAAGTGTTCATTTTTTGTCTCTCATAAAGCATTTTTCGATCAGAAACAATCGCCATCAAATTAAAGCGAATTTCTCCTTCATTGTATCTAAAAATTAAGATATATTTTCAATTATTATTATGAATATTTCAGCTGCCCAATTTCAAAACACAGTAACTAACGTTTAGAAATTTTTTTAAATTTTTCTTATTAAAAAAAAGTTTGCCTGCCAAATTGATGAAAAATTTGATTTATGAATAGAAAATACTTGAATATTAATATTTTTAAGAAAAAATACTTGAAATTAAGTGTTTTAAAATTGGGCAGCTGATTTGGGATTGGTGATTGCTTTTGAACTATTAAGAAATGTTAACTTACTTATTGATTCTTTTTTGAATGATAGGTTTAGCAGCCTGAACCCATTCATCTCCGGTAGGACAAGGACCTAAATCTATAGGACCTTCTTTGAGGCCATCTAATTCATATAATCTTCCATCAATAGGAACATAGCTCACATAATGAAAAACATCGTAGTCATTATTTTCTTGCTTTTGGTCGTACTCGAAAAATGTTTGCCTAAAATTTAAATAAATATAGAAATTTAGCAGATAAATTTTTTATGAATGAGAAACAAAATCTCATAATTTACAATGTTACTGATACATGCAAAGTTTATTCGAGCAATTTGAATAAAGTAAGTTGATTTAAGAGCAATTCGATAATTTTTTTGATCTATTTTTTTTTTTAATTTACTTAAAACAGATAATATATTAAAGATGCTATGAAAAAAAAAAAAAAAAAAAGGCCATTTGGCAGAATAATTATTATTCCTCAAGTTTATCAGAAAAGTAAATCGGCTGCCAAATTTTAAAATACAGTGATTTATTAGATTTTCGAAAATTTCAAATGGCTGCCATTTCTAAACTATTTGAGGGATTTAGCTCATTTTTGAACTCATCCAAGCTAATTGTATATAGAATAAGTCTACCAAATTTCATAAAGATTCATTAAGAATTCTGGGAGTAATCGTGTCCACAAGTCGCGTTGTGTTGTGTGCTTGTCTGAAACTGATTCAGATGACATTCAGCTTCTTAAACTTTTGGAGTAATTGATGAAAAGTAAATTTGTTATAGGTTAAATTAAAGAGAATTTCATAAGCTTTGAAACAAAATGCAGAAAAACGATCTATCATTTCTCAATAAAAAGTTATTCCCTAGTAAAGTCACCAAACATGTGATTTTTTAGATTTTCGAAAATTTTAAACGGCTGCCATTTCTAAACTATTTGATGAATTCAGCTCATTTTTAAATTCATCCAAGCTAACTGTCTATAGAATAAGTCTACCAAGTTTCATAAAGATTCATTAAGAATTGTGCGTTATATTACATAAATATATATATATAAACTTCCAAACCAACGTCATTTTTAAGCCTTACTCGACTAAATAATTGATATAGTAACGAAATTCTGTGTGAATTTTGACACAAGGGCCAATGCAATAGATAGATTTTATGAAATCTACCTAAAAATGTGACATTATGGTACCTTGCAAACATATTATGAGCATCTCTGATTACATCAGAATTGCTCAAAGTAAGTCCTCGAATTGTAGGATCAAAACTTTGACAGAAGTTTTTGAATTCTTCTAAATTCTGTCCAATTGATACATCAGGATGTTTACAGTTCAATAATATACTTAGAATAGCTTGCGTGGCACAAACATTGCCTATCACCTTGTAAAAATAAAAAATTATTAGATATATAATTCGATCGTTCACAATATTTTATCTATTGACTTACCTGTTTAGCAAAAAATATTTTATCTAATCTGTTATCTTTGACAATAGGTCCTGCTGGTTCTTCACCTTGAACCCATTTGAATAAAAATATCAAGCCATGGACAGGTCTAGATTAAGAAAAAAATAAATCATTTATCATTAGTTAAGCATTTTATGATTTTTTCCATCATTACTGATAAGAACATATTTTCATTAAAAATATTACTTGAGCGGCTCAAATTGATCTTCATCCAAACTCCATAATTCTTCGACTTGAGTTCCTTTCGCTCCTAAAATTACACAAATTAATATTTTTGCTTTAAACCATGACAAAGGAAAATTTAAAAATAATATATACGTTTTTTAGGTTATATTTGAATTATTCTAACTGTATTTTTGACATAGTACCAAAATAAACCAATTAATAATCAAATAGTATGATAGATGAAAAAAAAAACGAATAATTCATTATCTAGTTGAAATTTCTAATTACCAAATTCTCTGATTAATTCTGTAAAAACACCCGGATCGCTTTCAATGACACACCAATATCCTGTAGACGACGCCATTATTTTCAATTTATAGGTGTATAAAATTTAAATATTATGAACTACAAATATTATTTAAATACAAATTTAAGTATGAAACGAATACACAAAGTCTACTGATCTCAGCTTGGCATAACCATTAAATTTAATTATAATTATGATTTGTTTTCCACAACACTTATATACACACACAAAAAGTTGTCACATACATTGGTTTAAATCTAAGGGCCAGTTTTTCAATCCGAGATAAAGAATTTTATCCGAGATGAAAGTACTGCCAATATTATAATAATAAAAATAAATAATTCAGCACAGTGATATATTGTGTACGAGTAGTTCTCCCTGAATTCAGTCACTTATTTTTAATTAAAATAAATAAATATTAGCGGTATGCCACAGAAATATTAATCTCCAACTGTGACAACTTGCTGATTATAAATAAATAAAATAAAAATTAGGAAAAACGGATGACCCTGAAGGCCATTCCAGCAACTTTCCGCTAATTCCATATATAAGCGCTTGACATTGCGCTTGTAACATTATCGAGCTCCAAATTACAATTTATGTGTTATTTTGAGCTCTCCGAGCTCAAAGCGGTCACTGTTCAATACTTTTGAGCTCTTCGAGCTCATATCTTGCGTTTGACATATCTATTATTAATCTATAATTAAGGAATTGATTTTCAAAAGGGTATCTTTTCATATTTTAGAAGAAGAGTTTTTTGAACTTTTAAATATTAATTACTTTGAGAATTATAAATATTTCTAAATGAAAATCGAATTGTAGCTTCATAACCGATAGCACTTTATAGTTAAATTAAAAAAGTTCAATAAAAATATTTATAATTGAAGATATTCAGTTTTTTATCTCGATTAAACAAAAATGAAAAGATACCCTTTTGATATATTTATTTTTTATTTAAATAAATGACCAAATTAATTTTTTTTCATATTATCAAATCCTGAATCCGGTAATTCGGGTGGTGACCAGTCATTCATAGTATCAAATCCTGAATCCGGTAAATCATATGGAAAAGCTCCCGAATAAATCTGAACAACAAATAATTCAATTAATTAATTCATGTAAAAAATTTTCATCAAAGACTATTTAAAAATTTACAAATTATCAAGCTTTGGATTAAAATATAGATAAATAAATATTTGAAATAAACTTACCGCATTGGCTGTAATAAACACTAAAATTGTTATAATTTTAGCAGACACCATCGTGAATGATGAAGAATTTTCACTGATCACTATTAATTTAAATTAGTTGACTAATACACGAACTGATCACTCTGAACACTCAGATATTTCTGACGATCATTTCAGTAGTGTTGCGCCGATGGCTTAAGTTATATAGCATTACCCACTCCACTAAGTCCAATTACCCGTTTTTACCCGGTACTGAAGGTTAGTGTTGCCATCTACTAAAAGCGCGGTAAATTTAAAATTAAATATTAAATCTTACGTGAGCATTCAAAATAAAAAGTACACAATAATAATTATTAATAAAATTTATTGAATTATTTCGTTTTTTTAAACTTTTAAAACATAATATTGTTAAGTATTTGTTAAATATATAAACCATATAAATTAAAAAATAAACATTAGACGATGTACTTAGTAATGATAATCGTTATCATAACAATATTAATTCAGATTTTTTATTATTTATCGTTATTTTTCCTAAACATTTGTGTCAATCATTTCGTTTGTTGGCTCAAAATTAATAATTTCGCTATCCTTAGGTGAATAATTTTTAGTTACTGATACAGATTTTAAGGTTTCCGTGGATAAATTGTTTCTATTAGTCAATTGATTTTGTGAATCATTCATTATGTTCCGGTAAGGCGCAAGTTCAAGTTATGAGGGCAAGCGGAAAAATATGAGTTTGAATTATACACTCAAAAATATTTATTCAATACTTTAACATAAAATGTAATTTAAGGAAATCTATGTACCCTGCTAGTGTAAAGAATGTCTAAAAAATAATAATGCGTAGAAATACTTTTGTTATGTATCTTAAAATTAATTTTCAAATTACTTAATAACATTTTTGAGGAAATTTCCGAAAAATTTACGCATTTAATTATTACTAACATTTAATAATTATTTAATTGACTAAAAAAAATATAGCACTCTGAATTACCGGTAAACACTTGACAACACCGTAACAGTTCCCTAACCTTGAAATTTATTTGTTTGTAAACATGTCTCAGATAAACCAGTAGCATAATTTGCGAGCGCATTTTGGCAAATTTTCTACACATTTTATAAAGAAATATATAATTTTATTTATGTAATCCTGTTAATTAAATTATATTCCTTACTCATCGATTAAATGATTTCCAACTTTTAATTGTAAGGGCCAGTTTTTCAATTCAAGATAAAATATCATCCGAGATAAAAGTACTGCGAATATAATAATAAAAATGAATTATTAATCTATAATTATGTCAATTAATTTAAAATAATTTAAATGAGAGCAATATCACGTCGCTAAATTATTCATTTTTTTTTTTTTTTTTTTTATTATATTGACAGTACTTTTATCTCGGATAAAATTTTATCCCGGATTGAAAAATTGGCCCTAAGGGATAATAATTATACTGTTTCAAATATCCGACCTGTCGAACCGACGCGCTCTCTACCGACATTTTAAGTCCCCCTATCATGCCTCGTATACAGAGACGCGTGCATAACACAGCTATCTAGGCTTCGTGTTTACATGGTAAATGTTTACATTCTGTATTTGTAAATATAAATCAACAGTGAGGTTGTGTAAGGTTATAAGCAAATTTAAAAAAAAAAATCAATCTAACATTTCACTTTCGGGTTTATTTGAAGCACTTACTAACAAGGAAAAAATAAACAATTAAAAATGAGTAGTTCAAAATATCGTGATGATGATAATAAATCTCGGGATTCAAAAAAACGTTACTCTAGTGATCAGCTGTCTAGCCATTCAGAAAATAAACGTCACAAAAATGATTATGACAGCAATAAATCTGAAAAATTAAAAAATGAGGAAGACTATATAAAATTCCAGTCAGGTGATGAAAATAATGATAGTTTTTCATTTTGTAATTATAAATATGAATTAAATAAGGTATTTATTGCTCATAATAAGTTGGTACAAGAAACTGAAGATTTTTGGAGTTTCGTTAAAAAATACGAAGCTATTGAAATAAAACTAGGAAAGAAAAATAGCAGCGATCCACCAAAAACAGAATTAAATTCGTTTGGTGTACCTGCACACTATCATAAAAATCACTGCATTAATATCAAAATAAATATTAAATTCGGAGAACTATTTGCACGAGTGCCTCAGATCAAAGAGTTGAATAATAATCGATTACTTAAGTTTAAAGACATTATTTTACTGTATCTGAATTTTAAACAGAAAGAAAAATTTAATAAGTTAAAAAAGTTACGGGAGTCTCAAAAAAACTTACCAGTAGCCAACTATAGAGATGAGATAGTAACCGCTGTTAAGGAAGAAAAAGTTGTAATAATTGCTGGTGACACAGGATGTGGTAAATCAACTCAAGTACCGCAATATTTATATTCAGCGGGTTTTAATAACATTGCATGTACGCAACCTCGACGAATTGCATGTATATCACTCGCAAAACGTGTTGCCTTTGAAACATTGACTGAGAATTCCAATGAAGTCGGTTATCAGATACGTTTCGAAAAACAAAAAAACCAGCATACTAAAATTTTATTCATCACTGAAGGATTATTATTGAGGCAGGTTTCTGAAGAAACTGGTCTTACGCAGTACGACGTAGTGGTTCTTGATGAAGTTCATGAGCGTCATTTGCATGGAGATTTTTTGTTGGGAATTATGAAATGTCTAATACATCAACGCCCGGACTTGAAATTAGTTCTGATGTCTGCGACTATTAATATACAATTATTTAGTAATTATTTTGCTAATGAAGATGTTAAAGTTATTCAAGTACCAGGCAGACTTTATTCCATTCAATTACTGTACCGGCCAATTGGTATTGAGAATGTTAAATCTAAACGTGAACGATTCAATCCTAGTCCTTACGTGCAAATCATGCAGATGATTGATCAAAAATATCCAAGTAAGTTTTTATCATCGACATTTTATTTAAGGGGTTAAATGGGTTTCACGGTTTAAAAAAATCGATTTTTTTTCATGTTTTATTAAATTCTACAATATCTCTAGAATATTGTCTTAAAGTTTCAACTCGATCCAAATAATAGTTTCGAAGATACAGTCTTAAAAAGTTGCGCTCTCAAAGCACTGTTGTATTATCACTCAAAACTTTAAACGCGTTTTTTTCTCAAAACTATGTTTTCAAACACGGTGATCAAGATTTCTCGAGAACTACTCAACCGATCTTGATGAAATTTTAGATAGGTCTTCGAGATATAATTTACAAGGTCTGAAACGAAGGATTTTTTTTTTTTTTTTTCAATTACAACTATTAAAAAAAAAAAATGCCGCGAAATTTTAGCCAAATTTTTTATTTTTTTGTAACAACCTCTACCAAAAATCCAATTTTCATTTTTTTTCCTTCGTTAAACACATAGTTTAAATTCTTAACTAAAACACATATTTTTTTTTTTTTTTTTTTTCACTTTAAATAATCCTGCTAGGAGTTCTGCTGTTCACTGTTCACGCGGACGCATCTTTTTTCTGAGGGCTCGCCGGAAATGACATCACAATGGCAGAGTTTTTAATATTTTTTTTTTTCAAAATTTCAGTAATCTCTTATTAAACATGTATCTTTAAGACAGTAAAAAAGTTTGAATAGAATATTTCATTTTTTATATTAAAAAAAAAAATTGTTGAAAATAGGCCATTTTTTCCCCGGAGGAAACCCATGTAACCCTTTAAGTACGTAATAGAACAGTAATTTAATAATGAAATAATATTTTTCAGGTACAGAAAAAGGTGATTTATTAATTTTTCTCAGTGGTATGAGTGAAATAACAACGGTAGTCGACGCTGCTAAAGAATACAGTCAAAAGAAAAATAATTGGATCATTTTACCTTTGCACAGTAGTCTATCGCTCGCCGAACAGGATAAGGTATTTGATTATCCTCCAGACGGTGTACGTAAATGTATAATTTCTACAAACATTGCCGAGACGTCGATAACAATTGATGGTATTAGATTTGTCGCTGACAGTGGAAAGGTAAAAGAAATGAGTTACGATCCCACCTGTAAAATGCAGCGGCTCAAAGAGTTTTGGATAAGCAAAGCAAGCGCTGAGCAACGGAAAGGTCGTTCTGGTAGAACTGGCCCAGGAGTTTGTTATAGAGTTTATTCTGAAGAAGAGTACACGGCGTTAGAAAAGTACTCAACACCTGAAATTCAGAGAGTTCCACTTGATTCTTTATTATTACAGATGATAGCAATGGGTTTGCCAGATGCAAGGAAATTTCCGTTCATTGAACCGCCACCGTCACAAAGTATTGAAAATTCAATTTTGTCGTTAAAAGAACACGGCGCTCTTATGGACAATGAAAAACTTACATGTGTTGGTAAAACACTGTCCAAGCTTCCTGTTGACATTACCATGGGAAAAATGTTGATAATGGGGTCTATTTTTGATCAAGTCGAACCTGTGTTATCACTTGCTGCAGCTTTGAGTACCCAAAATCCATTTACTAATCGTGCTTACAAAGACACTGAATGTGAAACATCAAGAAAGAAGATCGAATCTGATCATGGTGATCCAATTACGCTGCTCAACGCATTTCGTGAATGGTTGGAAATAAAACAAGAAAGTAGTCATGAGAATAATAGTCGTAAGTGGTGCAAAAGACGAGGACTTGAGGAGCAAAGATTTTATGAAATGATTAAATTACGCTCTCAGTTTAAAGATTTGTTAAATGACTGTAATTTACTTAAAAAATTTCCGGAAATAAATTCGTCGATGTCAAGTACAGAAAGAACGATGCGACATAGAGAAATAAAGATTTTGAAGTCATTGAAAAAGACTTATAAAGAAACGGCACCCAGAAAACGCAAACAACTTAAAGTTGATCAATTTAATTTACAATTGGAGGATAATAATGAGGATGACGATGGAATTGATATTAAAGATGTTGAATTTCGTATGAAAAATGATTACTCACAAGTACAAAATTTACTCAACGCTAGTTCAGCTTGCAGTTATAAAGATTTGACAATGTTGAAAATAATTTTATGCAGTGGGCTGTATCCGCAATTCGCTATTGGCGATGAATTCAATTACTGTAAATCTATGAATGAACAATTATTTCACACGAAAGCTAAACCGTTCGTAGCACTTCATCCGATGAGCTTTTTTGGTAACCATCCACAATTATTGCAATTAGAAGAGCCAGATATTGTCAATATACCTGGTTTCAAATCTAAGATACCGTTAAGTCCAAAACACCAATTACTCACTTACGTATCACTTTTAGAAACAACAAAACCTTACCTCGTGAATACTCTGAGGATGCCAGCTGCTCAAACTTTACTACTTTTGGCTCAAGAAATTGATACGAATTCTATATTTTCCTTAATTATTTGTGATTGTTGGCTACTATTTGAATTTCCAATACCAGACAGTGGACAAAATTTACTAATAAGAGCCACAAAAATCAGACAAAAGTGGGATTATCTCTTGACAAAACGATTGGAAAAATCGTCTATAACTGTGAAGAAGAATGACGATGAAGATACGGAAGAAGATACACGTAAAATAGAAATAGAATTGTCACGTGAAATAATTGAATTTATGCACACGACTGTACCTTACACGGTTAAAAGATTATTAGCTGCCGATTTAAAGACGCTTTATGTTGGTAGAAGTGAAAATGATAAAATAGTTGAGCCTAATCCCTTCCAAGATGATTTCCCCTGTGTTTTGAATCCATCTAAAGGCGGAGTTAAACTTACAAATAATATTACCTATAATTGTCTGATGGAAAATGAGTGGAGTGATAAATTAGCTGTCGAGATGCTAGAGATGCCTTGGAAGTGTCCTCATTGTGAGATTGAAATTATTTTTTCTAGCATTGAAAAATTACAACATCAAAAAATATGTAAACAATTAAACAAAAGTGAAACAATTACTGATACAAGAACACCTGTGGTTAAAAAATCCAACTGTAAAACTTACGAGTGTCCTGTGTGTGAAAAAACTTTTCATCTTACACCCATAGAAATATTAAAACATAAAAAAAAACATGTTACTGTACAATAAATTAATGGGTGGGATGGCTAATCTGTATATTTTTAAATGATAGTTTATATTTTATAGTAATTAATTTATTGTAGAAAATTTCTTATCGAATCTATTATAATACATAAAAAAAAAATAGTTATTTGTATTGTTATTAATTGTCCATGCGTTAAATTTTTTAATTCAAAAATATACGAATATGAATATTTTACAATAAAAAACTTGATTAAATTATAAAAAATTCTTCAACAGTCAATATACAAAATCTGCCAGCAACAATAGATAATAGTACAGCAAAATTAGTCGCTTTTTAATAACTTTATCAATAAATTTACATGATAAGTTTATCAAACTAATTTTCCGTCAATAACATCACATTCTAGTAATTATGTCATTGAATAATAATAACATTGCTCTTCTTCATCCTGATGATTGTACAGAGAGCAGTAAAAATAGTTGCTAAAATTTCTTGTATCGCTGCAGGCATATCCGGAACACTTCCATCATCTTCACTTGGTCGGAGGTTGGTTTGTAGTACCAGTCGTTTTAAAATTAAGGCACTTTGAAAGGCTTTCATTAAACTAAACTAACTAGTTTACAAGCATGTATGTATAATATTCCATGCTTGTAATATATATATATATATATATATATATATATATATATATATATATATATATTAGAGTGTTACAAAATTCAATTTCCGTCAAAAACTTTTTAAAATTGGAGTTCCGCTTTTAACAGGAGCTGTGTTTGGGCATTTCCTGAGATATTTTGGGTTGAGACGATTTATTTTATTTTCATATAATTTTTAACAGGCAATAAAGCAGAAATTCCTCTTATGCAGAAAAGGAAAATAATTAAAGTAATAAACTAGCCGTTAAAATGTTCAAAATACCTTGGTAGAGTTCTGGTGGTGAAAAGAAAATAATTTTATCCAGAATTTAAATTATACCGATATTAACATAAATATAAATAAAATAAATAAGAAAGTTTGTAATTTATAATAATTCATTTATTACAAATATATAAAGATTTTTTTCAAGTCCATGGTAAAAAATTTGAATACATAAAAGTTCCTATCGTTGTGTATCCTAAAAAGTAAATTAATATCAATTTATCACGTTTTGAATATCTTTTTTGTGACATAAAAAATATTTTCCAACGTGAAAATGCATTAGTTGAATTTTCATAAAAATCTTTATCACTATTCCTAATCCTATGTGACATTAAATTTGCACAAAACCAGTACAATAGTGGACTAGCTGAACCCAATAATCTAGTACTAACTTGAATATGAACAAACAAAATGCAGAATATTGTTAAAAATAGTCCATGAATAATAAATGGAAACATTTGTAGCGGATAATGTTTTTTACGCGTAATACTTTCATAATTATTACTATCCAAAAATTTTAATTTATACAATTGTTGCTTATTTTCACGAAAATATTCAATAATGCATCGTAACATAATGTATAAAATAGGTATCGCTAAACAAAAATTAGGTATTTGTTTGATTTCATAGTACTTAAACAAACCGACACTCCAATATTTTTCTTGTACATACGTGTAAGCTATTGGTATCGTTTTTGTACACCATGGTGACTTATTTTTACCTGGCATTATCAAATTATTTATCATACCATAATTAATAACATGAGCAGGTACTACTTGTGTTGCATTAACTCGTTCAGTGCAAAAAACAATATAATTGTAAATTTGTAATAACACAAATGGCACTAATGACAATAATATTGTATTAAATATCCAAAGTAAGCTTGAAAAAAAATTTAATAATTCAATAAGCAATCCAGATTGCATCGACGGCTTACGATATTCTGAAATAACTTTAGGTAAACTTGTATGAAATAAATCTTGTATCCAATAATACAGTGGATATCCAATATTAACTATACCATTAGATCTAACAATACCAGAAAGACCAATAGGTAAACATACAAATCTATTGTTATTAACAGCGGCAATCATACTGTAAAATGTTAAATATGCAAACATTGATTCTGAGTATGTTGATGTAAAAAAAATACTCGCTGGATTAATGCAATACAATATTGATGCTTTATAAGCTATTATTGTGTTACCAAGTACTTTTTTACTGAGATCATAGAAAATGATTGACGACTTAATGAAACAAAATAAATTAATAATCACTGCAGCTATCAGTATAACACTATTATCATTAAATATAAATAAAATTTTCTTCAATAATCTAGCTACGTATCTAACTGAAATTGGATATAATGGAAAAAATGCAAGTGTATTTTCGTACGTGTAACCATATCTAGCGATATGTATAAAATATTGCGCATCCCATCTAGTTAAGCCACCAAATAATATCGTTATTAATTTATCATATATTGTTACACTATCATTTGGATTTATCGGACTAGTAAATGCATCTGCATTATGATCAGGGCACAACAAATTAAATATTAATTGTAATAATATTAACACTAAACGACTTACTATTGAAAACCACAGTACTTTTTTTCTAGGATCATACATCATGTAAATAACTAAATTAATTTAACTAAAGATCAAATAACTAATAGAAAAATAATAATAATAATAACACATAAAATAATATATATTTTAAACTTTAAGATTAGTCACGTTTATGCGATATCTTTTTTGACCGTTTTCTGTGAATACTTATCGCATGTTGGCAGGAAGGTTGTAATATCATGGCAAATAACAGTTTCCTTGCTGCTCCAAATAGTCAGTTTCAAGCTGCTTATTGTTGATACATAGTCCTAAAATTAAAAGATAATAATTAATTATTTTGAAAGTTTATTATTAAAAATGTTGCTGTTAATATTGTTATTTATAACAAGTTATTTCGTTAACGCTCAATTTATAACAAGAAACATTGTACCGGTAAATAATTTTTTTATTATATATTATTAACATTATTGAAGTAATTTAATGAAAAAAATTTAAGTTTTTAAAAATAAAAGTAATTAATACTCAACGATAAACTAAATTATATTTTATTTTATTTCAATAAAAAAGCTAATGGAAAGTCCAACACCAAAAATAACTTATCGAAAAGATATCGACAGAAGAAAATATATTCGACAACTTCTCGGGACTGAAAATTCAAATAAATTTCAAAATCAGTCTGTCGAGTATCCAGGATATGACGGATGGTATAATAATATTGGAAAACCAGAGCTAGGAGCTATTGACACTCCTTTGTTGCGTAGGTGGCCGGCAGCTTATGAAGATGGAGTTTATAAACTTTCAGGATCCAAACGCCCTCAACCTTTAGTATTGAGTGAAAGTTTACTGAAAGGAGATATTGGAACTAAATCACGTACTGGAAAAAACGCACTAATGGTTTTCTTTGGTATTACTCTAACAATAATAATATGTTAAAACAATAGTAGTCATTTTGAGATTAATAATTATTTTATTACTGATAGGACAACATGTCGTAGAAGAAATCTTAGATGCTCAAAGACCAGCATGCCCGCCAGAATATATTAACATACAAATTCCTGAAGAACATCGTTATAGAAAAAAAACAGGGCATACACAAATGCCAGTTTTGAGAACGAGATATGATGAACGAACTGGCCACTCACCCAATAATCCACGGCAACAAGTAATTGCAATTTAACATAAAAATCTTTATTTACTGAAATTTTAATTTTAAAATTGCAATTTAAGGTAAAGTACCCAGTAGTTGAGCAGGTTTCAAAGTAAAACGTATTTGACCTTACTTTTAATCTATAAATATGTAATTATTAGTTCAAATTAGTGATTTTCATGAAAATATTTAAGGGTCATTCCATGTCAAATCGGCCAATAGTTGGAATCGACCCCTTTCGATTTGAACGAATTTTGGTCAGAAGTTTTCTTTTATCATATAACGAAGTTCTGCCAAAGGAAAAAAAATAAAAAAATTTTTTTTCAAAGGATATGCAAACTCAAAATTTCGCGTTTTTTCCAGTTTTTAAATTTTGTTTTTGTAATATCTCGAACGCTAGGATAGATACAGGAATGATCTTTCGTTTGTTTGAAAGGGGACAAAATCGTCAAAAATGACGGTCGACAATAAATTTTTTGCTCAAATTTTTTTGTATACTGCCTTGTACCAATCTTAATAGATCCTGAAATTTTTGGAACTGTGTTTTTTGTTTTTTCAAAAATACAAATTTTTGAAATTTGTTAAAAAAAAAAAAAAATTTTCTCAAAAATTTTTTTTTTTATTTTTATCTTAATTGAGTTTGGAAAATCGCGTAATTTCGATATTCTGAACAGTTAAAATGTCATTTAGTGGCATAACGATGAGAAAAAAATAATTATAAGAAAAAATTTTTTTTTAACAAATTTCAAAAATTCATATTTTTAAAAAAACAAAAAACACAGTTCCAAAAATTTCAGGATCTATTAAAATTGGTACAAGGCAGTATACAAAAAAATTCGAGCAAAAAATTTATTGTCGACCGTCATTTTTGACAATTTTCAAAAATTAACAAAAATAATTGACTATTTATAATTTGACAACGTTTTTAAGATAGACTATGAAAGGAGTAGTAGTTGAACAATCAATTCTGACAAGCTGCAGTAGTTGAACACTCCGGGAGCAGAAATTGAACCAATAAAATACATGACAATAGGTGCACCAAAAATTTTCAATGTTTTATTGAAATATCAAAAGAATTATAACATATTATTGGTTAATATTAAAAATAATACTATGAATGTTTAATATGTTCATTTAAAAATGAGAAACATTTGTATTTAATTTTTTAATTACAATTTTTATGAGTGACAAAGTAAATTTTCAATTATAAATCAAAAAAACTCAATTCAAAACGTTCAATAGTTTTTAACTATACTAATTTTTAGTTATAAAACTTATTTTATTTGCAGTAATTAATACAAATCACAATACTGATTACTAGTCTATAAACCTATTAAAGGTTAAAGTGCTGTTAAAATTATACGGTCCCAGCTTGTTCAAGTTTTGGGTACCGCTGTGAAAATTGGGAGGTATAGTTGAACGCTAAAATTTAATATAAAAATTATACTTAATGTCTTTGCAAAAAATATGTATTATTTAGAAAAGACTATTTCATTGAGTGGTACAATTTTTTTCACTTAAAATGATGATACACTGTTTTTTTTTACTAATTGTTCGGTTTACGGTTTAGTACCTTTTTCATGAAAAAAATAACATCTATCGGCGATTCTCGACATGTCAACTTTAAAATTAACAAAAATGTAATTGTTTTGATTTATAATTGAAAAAACTTATCAAAATCAATTACTGTATCATTGAATAATGATAACATGCGCATATGACTCACAATATATATATATATATATATATATATATATATATAGATTTTGTATTACAGCAATTCTAAAAGTCTGTTCAACTATACTGGTCCCATTTTTAGAAGTGTTCAAGTATTGGGTACTTTACCTTATAATAATATAAAATTCAACTTTTAGCTCAATGAAATTACTCCTTTTTTGGACGGCGGCTTAATTTACGGAACAACAAAAGCCTGGTCTAATTATCTGAGAATGTATTCCAATGGAAAACTAGATCAAAATGGACTATTAGCATTTTCTCATGGAGGAAAATTTCCAGAATATAACACTATTCGATTACCAATGGCCAATCCTCCTCCTCCAGCTCGCCATGGCTTATATACTAATCGTCATTATACAGAAGAAGTTGAAAGATTTTTTAGTAAGTAATGTATATTTTTTGATTAAATGATTATTAATACAATTAATTTTTAAAGAACTAGGAAATCCTCGAGGAAATGAGAATCCATTTTTACTAACATTTGGAATAGTTTGGTTTCGATGGCATAATGTGGTGGCAAAAGAGTTGAAGAAACAAAATCCCAACTGGTCAGGAGAAAAAATTTATAATGAAGCACGTAAATGGGTGATTGCTTCACAACAACAAATAGTGTTTTATGAATGGTTACCCCAATGGTTGGGCATGGAGCTTCCGAAATACAAAAGTATTAATTGTTTTACATGAGTATTTTCATAACTGTATATAATTTTGACAGAAAATACAATCATTGTATTTGTAGATTATGATCCAACTGTTGATCCTCAAATAGATCAGTTTTTTCAATCTGCTGCTTTCCGTTTTGGACATACTCTAGTACCAGCAGGAGTTTACTTGCGAAATTACGGAGAGCTTGGATGTCAATTAAAATTAGGAGGCCGTGCTATTCGTACTTGTAACAATTTCTGGATGTCTGAAGTACATAAATAACAAGTTATCAATTTATCATATTACAATTGTATCAAAATAATATTTTAATTATGAAAATGTATATTGATTGTAGAATGGCCTTTTTGATAAATTTACTAGATTAGAAGGAACGATTGATGTAGAAAGGTTGCTTATGGGCATGGCTGTACAACTGGCTGAAGAAGAAGATCATAAAATTGTTGAAGATCTCAGGGGAAATGTTTTTGGGCCATTGGAATTTTCAAGACGTGATTTGATGGCATTGAATATCCAACGCGCTCGCGATCATGGATTGCCTGATTATAATACGGCTAGGAAAGCATATAATTTACAAAAAGTTACTAGCGTTGATCATTTTAAAAAAGTTTCTCTTGAGGTAAAATATAATCTTCAATCCTTAGTTATATAAATAGTAGCTTTTAATTCTAAAAAAATCTAATTATTGATTGATTAGGTTTTTTTTTTTTGTTAGATAAAATACAAGTTCTTAGAATTATACAAATCTTTCGATGATGTTGACATTTGGGTAGGTGGAATTTTGGAAACAGAAGATGGCCCTGGAGAATTATTTAAAACCATTATCGCAGATCAATTTGAAAGAATAAGAAATGGAGATCGATTTTGGTTTGAAAATGAAAATAATGGGTACAATATATTAATTTTTTTTTATTTATTATGTTTCTAATGAATAATAAAAAATTTTTTTCTAGATTATTTACAACAGAAGATATTATAAGGATTAAAAATTTGAATTTTTATCAAATTTTACTCAGTGTGACTGACGTAGGAGAAAAAGATTTGCCGGCCAATGTATTCAAAGTTCCAGTTTCAGGTAATGCTTCAATATATTTAAATTATATTCTGATCGTTATAATAATTATTTTTTATGATACAGAAGATGATATAAATACAAATTGCACTCGCGAGCAAATTGTTAAGAAAGGAGAATGTAGTGATTTTTCTGGAAATTCAATACCTTGCTTTCACGCAGACCCAGTCACATCTAGTAAAGTGGATGATTGTTCTGATCCCGGAACGTATGATTATTTTAGTAACAGCGAAATATCGTTTGTTTTAACCTTTGGAGTTATAATTTCCATATTCGGATGTTAGTATTTATATTATAATTTATAATTAAAGTAAAAATTTTTTCTTGTGAAATAAAACTATACAAGTTTATATAATTAGGTTTTTGGGGTTTTCTTTACTGGAAATTACATGAAACACAGAGGAAATTTTTGAATAAACATGTTGATCTTACAAAGTCGTGTTCAGACATCGGAGTCACTGGAAATATGTATACAGGTAAAATTAATTTGATACAATAAGATTTTATAAAAATTTGATCATTGAAATGATTTGTTTAGCATCTGAATGGATCGGTCCTTCTGTACAATGTCGTCCAGTGATTATTACACTGCACAAAAGTACACGTCAGATCCAAGTTAAAAATCAATTGGGTCATATGTCGCGAGTTGTGGATCTACATGTTAAAAAAATTATGGTATTTAATTACTTCTAATAAAAATAATTTATAAACAAATAAAAATAATCTTAATGATCAATATTACAGATGTTTGTGGGTCATCACAGTCAGTATGTTTTGATACGCGTCGATCACAATTATGACTTGGTCCTTAAATTTGATTCGATATTTTTAAGAAGTTTCTTTGTTAAATCATTAGATAATTTTCTTATGGAACTGAATATTGAACGAGAAATAGTATCGCGTATTACAGCAAAAGCTGTTTTGAAGCAAGCAATAACTAAGAGTGGACGGCAAAAAAAAGTTGAACAATTTTTTCGGGTTGTTTTTTCTCAGGCGTTCAATATAGCACATTCAGAAGATGAACTTCTTCAAATTGATTCTAAAGTTGCGAAAGAAGTTATTTATACAGAGTTAACAATAATTGAATTTGCAGAGGCTTTGAGTATGCGACCAGATTCGGAATTTGTCAAAAAGGTTTAGATTATTGAAATAATTTTCTTTGCAGCAACTAATATACTAATCAAATAACAATCTATAATTTTATATTTTAGATTTTTAATTTAGTAGATATGGATAAAAATGGCTTTATATCATTTCGTGAATTTATTGATATGTTGGTTTTATTTTTGAAAGGAACAGCAGAGGAAAAATTAAAATTGATGTTTGATATGTATGATATAAATAGGACTGGGCAATTAAAAAGAGAAGATTTTGCAAATATGTTGAGGTCATTCATGGAGACAGTCAATGCTGATATTTCAAATGATGAATTAGAATCAATAGTTCATTCAATGATGGATCAAGCTCAAATAGCAAATAAAGAAACTATTGATTTAGAAGATTTTAAAAACATTCTTGGTGAATTTAACGATAAATTTAGTTACGCCGAGTTAGAATTTAATGTCAACTCTAATGGTACTAGTAAAAAATTACATGCTGGAAAATCGACTATAAGATCAACATTTATTGGAGAAGTGAAACAAACTATGGAAAGCTTGTATGCGGATCCAAATGATCTTAAATCACGAGTTGAAGGAAAGACTTATTTCAGTTCAAATAACGACGCTGCAAATAATATCGACAATAATGAAAAAATAATTCAACCTAAAGTAGTCTACACTGAGTGGGATCAATATTGGAATCCAATTACAAAATTTGTAGCTAATAAACAACTGCAAATTTTTTGGGTATTTTTATATACAATGATTCTGCTTGGTATTTTTTCTGAACGAGTTTATTGTAAGTAATTTATTTTCAAGTATTTCATCTTAAATTTAAACCTCGAGTATGTAATGACAAACTTTTAATAAAAATTATTCGATTATTTTAAGATTATTCGACATTGAGAGAACATCGAGGATTAAGAAGAATAACAGGATATGGTGTATCAATAACAAGAGGTGCAGCTTCAGCGATGATGTTTACGTATTCGTCTATGTTATTAACGATGTGTCAAAATACAATTACAATTCTTCGAGATACCGCTTTACAATTTTATATTCCGTTTGATTATGCTTTTGAAATGCATAAATACATTGCTTGTTGGGCTTTATTTTTTACAGGTAAAATTATATTTTTAATTAAGTATTGATTAATTTTGAAAAATTTAAGATCATTATTAATAGTTTTTTATTTGTTTTCATCAGCTATTCACATTGTGGGTCATGGATTCAATTTTTATCATATTGCAACCCAAACCTCAGATGATTTGACCTGTTTATTCAGGAATAATTTCCATGCGTTAGTATTTTTCAATAATAATTTATTAAAACTACTGATAAGTAAATTAAACATTTTTTAAGACAAATATTTTTATAGAACTCATGAAATACCTAAATTTCACTATTGGGTGTGGTCAACGATGACCGGCGTAACATCAATAGTATTAACTATTATTACTGGCATAATATTTGTATGTTCCATTCCCATGATAAGGCAAAAATTATATAAATATTTTGCTCTTGGACATACATTGTATCCATTATTTTATATTCTCATGTTCTTACACGGCAGTGGTCGATTAATTCAAGAGCCTTTCTTTCATTATTTTTTTCTGTGTCCAGTTTTTATTTTCACTATAGATAAAATATTCAGTGCAACTCGCAAAACTGTGGAAATACCACTATTGAAAGTTACTTTACTACCGTCAAACGTTACATGCTTGATATTTCAAAAGCCTCAACATTTTCAATATAAATCTGGACAGTGGATACGGATTTCCTGTCCAGCATTAAGTGCTAATGAATATCATCCTTTTACGCTTTCATCAGCACCCCATGAATCAACTTTATCAGTTCACATTAGATCAGTGGGCCCATGGACCCACAATATTAGAAATAAATTAGATCCAAACAACAAGAAATTTAAAATTTTACCAAAAGTATGTCAGTATTTTATTTCAATTGTTAGAATATATTATACTCACTTGTTATTTTGATTAGATACATGTAGATGGACCTTATGGAGAATCGCACCAGAATTGGGATAAATATGACATCTCCATAATGGTAGCAGGTGGCATTGGAGTCACTCCGTTTGCATCAATCCTGAAAGATATTGTTTTTAAATCAAATCAAAAGCTTAACTTGGGATGCAAAAAGGTTTGACTGTTTGTAAAATCATTAAAATTTTTTTAGATTATAATATAATAAAAAAAAAAAAAAAAAAAAAAAAAAAAAAAATTTATTACATATTTAAAACAGTAAAATTAATTGGTAGGTCTATTTCATTTGGGTTACTCAAAGTCAAAAACAATTCGAATGGATGATTGACATTTTACGCGATGTAGAGAAAGATGATGTCAATAATTTTATTTCAGCACATCTTTTCGTCACACAATTTTATCAGAAGTTTGACCTCAGAACAATATTACTGGTAAGAAGAAGACTTTATCGACATATTATAATAAAATTAAAATTTCCTTGCTTATTTTATTACTTTTGACTAAATAAATTATTCATTTCAGTATATTTGCGAGCGACACTTTCAGAAAATTTCTAATAAATCTTTATTCACTGGACTGACAGCAGTTACTCATTTTGGACGTCCGAATTTTGCTCAATTTTTTTTGGCTATTCAAAAAATACACAATGATGTATGTATTATATTTATAAATGATTGTTATTAACTAGTAACACGACTTTCATGATTTATGGTATTGTTAATTGGCTTTGGTGTTTCAGGTTAATAAAATTGGAGTATTCAGTTGTGGTACTCCAACATTAACCAGAGCGGTTGACAGTTCATGTCAGAACCTCAACAACAGAGACGACACTTATACAATATTCCAACATTATTATAAAAGTTATTAATTATTTACATAGTACAATTTTGATTTTTTAAAAATTAACTTTTGTACTTTTTTCAAACTGAAATTATAACGATTGACATTTATGATAACAGTAATAATTTTAAAATAATCTGAAATCTTATTAATTAATTTGACAACAGTAATATCAATAAATAAACAAAAATTATAAAATTTTCCGAGAAGCATTAAAGGTTAAGTGCATAATTTTATCTAATTAAAATATGGATTATATAAATGATGTTTTATATATATAATAAATTAAAATATATAATAATAATGATTTACCTGATGTATAAATAAATTTTGATTGTATTTATATTTTTATCACAGATTAAAAATCCATTTTATAATTGTATTCGTGATTTATATACAATAGTGATTTCTGTCATTCCTTGCTTTAATATTTAGTGTTCTCTGTCAAATTGTTTCCCAAGCATTATTATATTGTGTACATACTAAAATATGAATAGTTTTTAACAAGAAAACGTTATAAAATTTGAAAATTTGGATTCTTTAAGTACTTATCAACATGTTGAGTATCACAAGATTTATAAAAATACATCCAGCAATAAAAAAATTTCATAATGGTATTTAATTGTTTAATCGAATTGGCAACTTAACCTATTGAAATATTTTATAATAATAATAACAATAACAGCAATATACTATTATTATTATTATTATTATTATTGTTGTCCTGCCATAGACATAATAATAAAAACTAATAAAAATAATTTTTTTTTATTTCAGAACCCATGAGATTGTTGGCAACAAAAAATGACGACGAAAAAAAAAGTTCACGACTTGAAGAATTTAGAAAAAAATTACGCGAAACAACTCCAATAGGTTAGAAAGGGGATAATTTTAATTTATATTGAAATAAATATTAATAATTTACAGAAAAACTGGAAGAATTTGAAGAAGGAAAGCATCCTTATCAAGAAAAGGAGCCTTTAAAACCACATCCAAATAATACAAACCCAGAAACTGGAGAAATTGGCGGTCCTCGAGGTCCAGAGCCGACTCGGTATGGTGATTGGGAACGAAAAGGCAGAGTTTCTGATTTTTAAGGACATTTTACTCATCTTTTTTTCTTAATAATTATTTAGAACCATATTCGATAATATATACAGTTTATAATCTGTAATTTATTAATAAAATAAATGAATAGTTGGTAATTTTTTTTCAACTGTATAATTTTTTACAACCGGGATATTTTTATGGACGATGTTGACTAAAAAAATCATTAGTTTTCTTATTAATGAGGAATTTAAAAATTTCAAAAGGTAAATTATAGTAATAGTTAAAAGTAGATTATCATTGAAAAAATTATTTTCCTTTAGACGTAACAACTCGATCAATAAATGTAATTAATTTAAAAAAATGCTCCAGAAGCATCGCTATGGATCAAGGAGTTTGATAGAAAATTGAAAGCTCAGTGTCCAAATAAATTTAGTCATTAAATTATCTTTAAAGTTTAAGATAATAATTTCAAGTGATTTTTCCGCTTTGCTTTGATGTAGATATGAAAAATTCTTGAGGACTTTATTTGGTTGATATTGATCCAAAGAGCGGTGAATTCATTTCAGACAGCGAAAAAGAGCCCATCAAATGGGGAGACTGGCAGCATGGTGGACGAGTTAGTGATTTCTGATATAGAAGTATTCTAAATTAAAACCAAAAATTTATTCTTAAATTTATCTATGTTATGCAAATTTTTCTCTAAGTTGTAAAAAAAATTGAACAGCATAAATTAATTTTTTTCTTTTTAATCTGAAAAATAATACCAAATTTTTTGTTCTTAATTGTTACATAACATGATACTGGTATTATTTAATTTTATTTTCTTTGTTATTTTCTTCTCTCAAATATTTTACAATTAATATCTAAGCTCCATCAATGTCATTTAGATAAACTATTTGCGCTATGTACTTTATAAAACATTGAATGGAAGCGTATTAATTTTTTTTTGTTTTTTGTTATATTTTATCTTGACTATCAAAATAAATTTTGATAAATAAAAAATTACCTAATTATTTATTAGTTAAATTAATTTTATAATAAATATTTACTTTGTTTACAAACGAAAACTTGGTGTTAGTAATTTACCAATTATTTGTACAAAATTTTTTTAATTTGATTTGTCAATACAACAAATCGATAATATTAATAACAAATTTTTGAGTAGACAATTTTTTCATAGTAGAAAAAGAAAATTAATGAATAAAAAATTCTTCGACAAAATTATCAACAAAGACTTAATTAACATGATATTTTTATGAAATAAACGCGAGGTATTTAAAAAAAGGAATCATCATCGATAAGACAAAAAGTACTTTACCCGAGACGTTGTAATTTAAATTGTCAGTCTTTTGTCGTAATCTAGAATATAAGTGAGGCCGCCATGAATTGTTAATTTATTAATTTTTTTTTTTTTTTTTTTTTTTTTTTTTAAATCAAGGAGAGCATAAAATATATAAACGAATATAGATGTTTTAACGTTTTATAAGCTATAAAGTTTTATTGATGGCTAACACGTCCCGCATCATCATATTTCTGAGTGTCCACAAGGCATTTACGACATTTCCATGATTACCAACTCCGTTACCAAGCCATTCAGCAGGTAATTTTGTAACATCCGGAATTTGCGTGTTCTCAGGAGTCGCATTCATCTGCTTGTCCCAATTAGATATGTATCGATTCTCCACATTTAATCCTTCAATATATCTGCAAAATATTTATAGAATTAGTTCATGGATAAAAAAAAAAAATTATCTAATTTTGCTTATTTCATATTCTTTTATTACCTTAAGTACGCATCCGAATGTAAAACTCTACTTGGCCGTGGTGGAACAGCGATGAAAATAGGATCTGGCTGCTTAGATAATGGTGCAGCTGTTGTAGTTTGTGTAGCAGTAGCTAAAATTTCTAGTAGATTAATATTTCTTAATCAATTATTTAAAAAAAAATAAATTCGTTAGTCTATTCAACTTACCATTGTCCATTGGAGGTAATATCGTTGGTCCTTTGGATGCCATATAGTTTCTAAAAAATTTCAATGAATTTTCATTTCATTTCATTTTTTTATCAATAGACATAAATAAATATAGATCTGTTTACTTACTTGCTTCTTTCACTAGGTGGTATAATTCGGCCATTTCCTTTGAGTATATGAACTTCTTTAACATGCCTCGCTAATCTCTGTACACTTGGAAAAGGAGGCACATTTTTTTTTGTTCGACCACATCCTCTCCATTGACATTGAAACTCCACATCTAGTTATATATAAAAAGAAAATTGATTATAAACTAATAAATAAAAATATCTACAATAATTAATTGAAAATAATCATTACCAGCTGGAGCGTTTATAAACGAAGATTGCACATGTCCATTTTGCTCAGCAATACAGTGATCTATGCAATCTGTCATATCTTCAAATTGCCAATCACAATTATCCCAGCAACATTCAAAAACTTGGTCAACCGGTGCACCAATAGATAATGCCAAAGCTCGACTTTCAGCACCCTCATTCAACTTCGAAGCTCTTTCCTCCCATACTTGCTTTTCACCTGCTGGTAATTTTCTCCACTGTAAATAAAATATATTTTTTATTTCAAATACTCACTCTCTGGTAGCTAGATTATTTCAATGTCGAATTTTTTTTTTATATAGTTTTAGAGTATTAAATAATATAAAATAAATAGGGAATTAAATAAAATAACTGGAAGAACAAATTAAATAAATAAAATAAAGAACAAAAAAAATAAATATAAATAAATAAATACCTCGTTACCAACAATTCTGCTAATCTCTCCAAAGGTCGAATCAGGATTGTTTTGAGTAATCTGCGTTCGCATTTTACTCGAATATAAAATATACCCCGTTACTAATTTCTTACCCGTTGTTTTCTAAACAGAAGAAAACACAAATTACAAACTCATATCACTTTACGAATGATAAGAAAAAAGAAAATTATATTAATATTAATATTATCATTATTGTTATAAATATTAATTTTTGTTTTATTATTATTAATGATGAATAATTCGATTGTTCAATTTTGTATAATGAGGATTAATTGAATAGCAAATGTGATTAAAATTAACAAATGATTATATACATATTATATCGGAACGAAGTCAAAAATGATAAATATGCTGGCATATTTCTGTAAATAAAATAAAAAACTCAACTCAATGCAGGAGATATAATAGTAATTTAAAAAATCAATTAAAATTAAAATAACATGGAAATAAATAAAAAAAATGAAAGAAAAATATAATAAAAAAATGAGCATCGTTAACACGTGGGGCCTACCTTTTTAGTTGATACAGGCGTTTGGGCATTGGCGAGCACCGGTTGAGCTTCAGTGGATCCCACGGACAGTGGTCCACTTGCGTCCATGCTGTCTTCACCTACTCCGATGCCTAGTACTTCAGGTTCCAGTTTCGGTAGCAGTGGTGACGCATCCTACACGATTTATTTTTTAATGTTACGTACGTTTTTACCTTTATTATTATTTATTTATTTATTTATTTATTTATTTTTTTTTAAGCCAATTCAATAATTACATCAACTTAAATACTAGTTAGTCTAAACTAACTTTTTTTTTAAAACTAAATTTTGATATCTCATATCTATTAGTTATTTAATCATAACTTTTTCGTTTATTCAAGATAAAGTACCCATCAAAGATAAACCCAACAGGTGCTCATTGTTTTGATACGTCGGTAATTACCGATGAATTCGCTTCACATATTTAATAGAGGGATTTTTTTTCTTTTTAAATAAAAAAAAAAAAAATAAAATAAAACAGAAATATAAATATGCCGGCATAAAGAAACATGCAAAAGCACAAGCCAACACAGTTAAATAATTTTTATTAATTATATATAAAAATTTTTTTTTATAATTTATATCTACTAGCATTAATTTAAAGCAATAAAATTTATTATTCGATGGCTGTATTAGCTTGTGCATAATGAAATAATAAAAGCATGCAAACTGATTATTTAAAAAATAATATTTTTTTCATTAATGTTGATTAATATTGCAAGAGCCATAGTACAGATGTACAATTACCATTTCAAAATGAGTTGTACTGGACGTGACAGACTTGATTGGCAAATGTGTCTGTGCCACATCGCTTGAAACCTACAACACACACATGCCAAGCATTATTGCAATAATCTGTTAGCTATCTGCACTAATAAAAATAAAAAATAATTAAACAAA